AGAAGAAGAAGAAGAAGAAGAAGAAGAAGAAGAAGAAGAAGAAGAAGAATAAGAAGAAGAAGAATCTCCGTGCGCACGCAAGGGCTGGGCCGGCCGTGGATTGGATTGCCAGCTACTCCCCTCCGTACAACAACACCGAGGTCCGCGATGATTACGAGCACAGGGCGCAGAAACACACTTGATGCTGCATCAGCACCATCGCGAGGAGAGCGACTTGCTCAGGGATAGCACCGGGCAGAAGTACTGAATGTTTGCGCCCCCCGTCACCCCGATACGATTCCTCTCCGCTGAGCAGACTGACTACGAACCTACCACGTCCAGCAGCTAGTCACACTTCTACCTGCTTTCCACCAAGGACGAGAATGGACGATAGCTAGTCGCCAAATCGCTCACGCGCGGCGCGGTGCCGGGCATGCGCGACGGCGGCAGGTGGACTGCGGCCCGCGCGTCGGGAGACGACAGTGGGCGGGCCAGGAGCGAAAATTCTGGAGACGCGGAACGGGGCGGAGAAGCGAGCGTTTGTAGGCGCTCCTCTTGCGACTTGTAGGATGCATCTGCGCTATCTAGCTGTGTATTGAGTATGTGATATGTGTGCGGTTGGCTTTGGAGTTGCTAACATGATTTGATACAATTTAACTAGATTTGATCTAGTATGCCGGTGCTGACTTGGGTATAATGAGCGGAGCGGAGCAAGAGAGTGCTGTACCTGTATGATGGAGAGAATGAGGGTGATGCGGGGGTGTAAATGGGAGGAAGAGGGGAGGCGAAGGAGGAGGAGAAGAAGGGGGGAGGGCAAAAACGCGAATAGATTTGAATATACGAGTACGATACCAAAACGGTGGGACAGAAATGCCAATCTAGTCGGTTGAACCGCTGTTTCCACTGTCGCGTCTTTATGCGCATGTCTGAAATCAGCTGCGAAGAGCTTGTCTGTGTCTTGGTAATAGCAGATGGCATAATGATAAGATCTGATACATACACACACAGATATATATATATATATATATATATGCACAGCTCCAGTGTTGTGAATCTCAAGTGATATAAAAATAGACATTGAAAAGAAGACAATCTATTCGAATGCAGATAGTTACGGCTTTAAAATACTAAGGAGAAATTGACTGTTCATACAAGTTTATTGTCTAGGATAACTAAAAAAAAAAAACCTGTGATTGTCTACTGTGACAGGAGGCTGTTTCCACCGTACCAACAACGAGCTTGCTCGAATTCAAATCCGAAATAATCAAGTACAATCAGGATACAAGAGGAGAAAGGATGTGAAGATATACGGGAATCTCTGAGCCGGTCTTCCCCAACTTCTTTGTAACGCCAGTCCAGTTCCATAAACTGCAGCATCAATCACCCTTTTCCCTCGTAGAAGGCCTCCATCTCCAACCTAACCCCTTCCCATCTTGCCCTCAGATCGTCAGGCCCAACGACCCACAGCTTCTCGTGTAACGTCGCGACTCTGGCTTCCACATCCCTCCCGTTGGGCCAAGTCGCGCTCCACTCCGGATCCAACTCCGTCCACGGCATGGGTCCCTCCCTCCGAAATGCATAATTCAGCAAACTCTGCTCCATGGTAAATGGGTCGAACCGTCTCCAACGCTTCATCACGGACATCAAGTACTTGAACATCTCGCGCGAGGGTGCAGCGACCCAGAATCCGGCCGAGAAGACACTGCTCGGTGTTGGTGGATAGGGATGATCGCGCTCGCCGGCAAGTGCGTTGTCTGAGCGGGCACCGAAGACGTATTGGGCCGGGAGCTTGTGCTCATCGTTCCTGATCTGAGCGGTGTTGTTCAAGTGAGTTTTGGCTGGGGTTTGGAGCATAAGGGAGTCGAACATGGTGTCAATGGGGCGAGTAATAAGTGTATCAGAGTCGATGAAAACGATGCGATCGTAGTCCTCGAACTCGTAGAGTCTAAGCCTGGATATATGATTAGTGATAGATCTAGTCATCTCATGTCGTACAAAACATACTTGGTGAACTGGTCTTTCCACTTCTTGACTCCCGAGTAAATCCACCACGGCAACGGAACGTCCTTGACCTCGACAACCGTGGCCCCTTCCCGCTCAAGCTGCATCCTCTTCGCCGCGGTAACAGCCTTGGTCACCATCACCAGGAACATGACATCCGTCCGATTCAGCCTCGTCGCATCCGCGTGCTGGAGCTGATAGTTTAGCATCCTCACGCCGGTGAAGTAGTTGTCCGGCGCGTTCTCAACATAGTTCTCACATAAGAACGTCGCGACCGCGTACTTGGACGAGGCTGATGTGACTTCGACGAGGCCGTAATTTGGGTCGGTTTGTACCGGACTTCCTGATGGGATGGGGAAGCCAAGACCGACATAGAAGCAGGCAATGAGCGCTAGCAGCACAATCGACGTGAGCTGAGGGCCTCGTCGGCGATTCGAGACCGGCATTGTGAGATGTCAAGAATATGGATAGAGAGACATCCCCCTCTGTATCGCACGTCGTCACGATGAGTTTCTCGACTTCACGAGTTCGTGCGAGGTGGTGACGCGGGTGGGAGACTGTACATCTTTGCAACGGCAGGTGGTAGGTATATGTACATAATCAAGCGAGAAGGTGGAATCGACTGGAAGGCGCGAAGCCTTCGTTTTCACCGTATCGGCAAGGGATGGATGTCCGAGCAAGCTGATTCAGACACTGGCGGCCAAGTTATGACCAAAGTCGAAGGCTCAGAAGTAGATATTATGATACTGATTCAGGTTTTTTTTACGCCCAGAAGTGCTGAGCCACGCTTTGCGCCAAGGCTCATCTCCTTCGCACAATTATATTCGACCAGCAGAAGATTCAAAAAGGAATTGAATTCGAATGCATCTCGCTAACTTATGCAACATCAAGATCTTGATTTGCTTAATATTGGAGCAACAATGGGTAGAAATACCCCTACGCGAGATTTGCTCTACCCGCAACAAAGTCCTCTCTGTACATCAATGCACCAAGCGAGGGTCTGGGCGTAAACAAGACACTTGAGTAATCCTATATAAGGCCCTTGGTCTTCTCCCTTCTCTCGTTTCTCTCAGGCGCAGTCGTTTCACTAATTCATTTTATTTCACCCCTTTTCCCGACTCTTATATAAACCTTGGCTAATCTCGTTTCAGTCGTATACAGGATCTATGTGGCTTCTTGGCTGGTGTAACAAGATGTTGCCCGTGCTTATAAGCGGCGCACGACAACGATGATATTTGCATCTATTGGGATCGATAGGAGCGCGGCCTCGATTCTTTTGAAAGACCCTTCCTTTTCTTTGTACTTACACTTCTTCACAGGCCAAATAATTACATTCATGTAGTAGGGGTAGTAGTAGGGGTATCAATTTGCGCTTAGCGGGTGATAGAACATATAAAAATTCTGTATTCAAGTAGATAATAATCGTCGGTTACCCTAAATTTAACTTGAAAAAAATGGCCGACTTGCTGTAGCCAGTCGGCACCACCAAGGCGGGACACTTTCATGCAAACAGTTATTAAACCACAACTATTAGTAAAAAAAATACTAAAAATAACTCTACATGCTTATAAAAAATTGCTGTTTAAATATGTATCATAGATATAAAGATACTTCTATTTATTGCAAGTCAAAGCACTGCGATATAGTCAAAATATAGCCAAAATCTGTTTCAAATAATCAGATTTACCTGTCCGTCTCGAATATCTCAATAACCACAACTCTAATCAAAAAAATGTGAGCCAAAGGTCCATAAGAAGCATTCGATTCTAAAATATCAGAAAAGAAAGTCTTTATTAAATGAAAGTTGGTAGTGTAGAAAATGTATTTTTAAAAGAATTCCGATTTTCGTATTCCTCGGCTTTTCTCGCATACTCTGTAGAAAAACAGTGGCTGCTTGTAACATCAAAAAGTACGAATTTCATCACTTTAATCCAATACAATAATAGAACAACTACATATCATTACAATTCTGATAGTCGCTTATCATTAGACTCCATAGAGTGCATCTTTGAATCCAGAAATAATTACGATATGATGGGTGCTTGATTTTCTATCAATTTTGTAAAGACGAAAGTCGATGTCCCGCCCCGATCGATGGTTTCGACCTGGCGCAATAATACTTTAAGGCAACCGACGATGAGTTGTAAAATCCACGATGCTTTGATCCCGCGGCATGAAAGCTTTTTCGTAAATCCTTTAAAATCATTTCAAACCGAAGTATCGCAGCGGGTTTTCTTTCGTTAATCGTCTTGTACACGTGGTTTTACGAGCGGCTTCGGGTCGTAGTGATAAGCAATTTTCTTCCGTCGTCGTGGAATTGCGAAAAGCTTGCGGTTACAGCTATTTTTTACCGAATCGGTTTTGCTTGCAAAGCGCTCATCGAAAGCATAATAATACCGTATCTTGGATCGATCGAACCAAGCCAAGGATCAAAGCAGAGGAAGGAGGCTGCATCTGCAGGTGGCTTTGCGAAACACTACTTACTATTAAAGAAGTAAAACCGTTGCACGGGCTCCGAAAGCTCTTACGGAGTAAACCGAAAGCTGTTATACTTTTTTTTTGGCTCCATTTATAGTTGACTCAGCCATACTTATCGTTGAAAACCAAGAGATTCTATATCCTTTACGATAATTAGTAGAGTAATTTGAACTCTATTTTAAATTAGTAGAGCGACTTTGAGAGGAGATTTCAACCTGCCCGTGGTTTGCAGGACTTGCAAACCACCAGCAAGTTTCGACCCCTTGGGATCTAGCTTAAACCCATAGCAGAATTAGCTCTAGTTAAGAAAAGTGCGAGCGAGACGTTAGGTATTATACGGAGGCTGCGGAATAACGCTGCGGAATAGCGTTAACCATATGCCAATAAGGCAAGCTGTCCGCTACTCTCAGTCTCAAATTCTTACTAATGCGCCACACCGGCTTTCAAACGGATCGATTCTCTATTAAAATTTTCCGTTCTCAAAAACAGAAAAACCCCCTCCTAATAATGTCAAGAACACAGCTAAACGCATGGCACTTAAGCGAAAAAACAACATGGAAAGAATGTTTAACATTTAGCTATAATTATTAAACATAAAATTTAACTATATATCTAAAAGCGATATTGCGAATTTTGTTTTTCATATTGTCGTGCGGTGTAGGGTTATAATACTGGAAACTGCAATGTGCATTGCAGGTCTGCTTTTGCACAATACATATCTCTTCGTTCCGCAAGCTCCCAGCGGGGCCTCGCTTAAATGACACTTAAAATCGCTAAATACGGTATAACAAACAGAGATTCCACTCACTCACTTCCTCTCCCTTTTACTCTTCCTCTTCCTTTTACTCTTCCTCTTTCCTTATGTCTTTCTTAGCTACACCGTACACATACAAGCCACCCACCTTATAAGATAATAAGATCCGCAAAACTCTCGAATCCCCCCATCATTTCCTTCTTCATTCTCCACAAGGAAAGACCTATAACTTCAGAAAGCCATGTGAAGAGAAAAGGAAAGGCGCCGCCAATCCAGAAACTCGACTACACTACCGTAAATGCCTTCCTCCATATAATCGAGGCTATTGTTCAAGGTTCGTTTCATAAAGCATGGACCAATGAGTGAGCATGGCCGAGTTGCATCGTTGCGGGGGAGGAGGAGGTATAAGGTCTTTCTCAGTGCTTCTTTGATCCTCCGGACTCCGGATATGATCGAGTCTAGCCCTGAGTAATATTAAAAAAAAAAAAAAGGTTTCATTCATAATCGAGGATTGAAACGCTTGAAACAACGATTTAAAGAATACATATATTATGGATTATGCCTTTGGCCTGTAAATTATCATTAAAGCCTCATAGCCTTCAAATATTGCGATCACGTGTATCTACGTTTCATCGCAATAGCGGTGTCAGCGTGATTCTACTCTGATCAATAATGCGAAAGCTGCAGCTTACTAAAAGTACTAAACAATTCTGCCTAGCCAAACATTAAGCGCCTTTCTCAGCATATGGATTTAATTCTACTGGTATCAAGAGCGAAATGCACGAGGAAGGATTGGGATTCCAGGCTTTGGGAATACTTTTTTAAAAGATGGTACAGACGAGCTTTTTAAAACTCGAGAGAGTAGGATGTGTACACAAGAAGATGAGATCCAATCCTGCAATCCAATTACTGATTTGAAAAACCTAGTGGACCAAAAAGCTGTTTCGAGGCTCAGACTATAAAATCCACTTTTGGAATCTGTAATCCCCAGAGGAACAAAGAGGCCGTAAGTGTGGTGACAAATACTTCAAGAGGCGGCTGAGGGTCGGGTATGTGGGATGGGTGGTATGCGAAGCGTCGGATTTGCCAAGCAGCAGCGCGTGAGAGGAGGTGAACCGTATGATTCAGACAGGCTATGTCGCGCCGGCGCATAAGACCTCGCTTTATTTCGAGACCAAATTTTAAATGCCCGGCGTCCCTCGTAAGATCCTACATTGATTCGTTGCCATAAGTCTCGACGGGTGGATTTGATCACCTTCTCACCAACTGCCTCGCCCTCTTCCGGTCTTCCGGATTCAATACCCAAGTAATCTCCTCCTCGCCCTCTTCCTCAGCTTCGTTAACCGCTTCCCACTCCTCTTCTTCCATGTTGACCAACATGGTTACTTGTACCACCCTCGAAAATGAGTCTCGGACTCCATACCTGCCACCCCGCGCAACAGCGCTGATAATCCCCGAGAAATCCCTCTCCATCCGCTGCGCACCGAGGGCATTGATCTTGCCCGCCATAAGCCAAATCCTCTTCTCGAGTACCTTGGCAAGGTACTTCGCTGTCGATTCTAGCAGAGAGGCAAACGATTTGGGCGTCATGATGCGTTGGATAGGCTTCATCAGCGCTTCCCAGCTGTGCTCGAACCGTCTTGCCACCAAATCGTTCAGGATTTCTTGGTCTTCGTCTGTATCGTTGTTCCGTGCGATTTCAGCGAGGTCTTCTTCGTCGAGAGAGTAGTCAACATCACGGAACGTCTCTGACAAGACGGGTCGAAGTCGGGGTTTGACGACTCGCTCGAACATTACTTGGAGACCGTCTGAGATCAATTCTGACGTTTTCGAAGCGAAGGTTGAATTGAGATTCTCGAGTGTGTTCTTTACAAAGGTAGCGTCGTGGCCAAAGGGAAACATCTCGGTAAGGGGGTTGGGTCCCTTCGCACCGGTGGGGAGCTCTGCAGGTGAGAGGCGGCCGGTTATAATGCGCGAGAGGTAGTCGGTTGCCAAATCGAGAGAGTTGATGAGAACGATGAAAGCGATGATCTTGTCTTCTGGTGGGAAGCCGCCCTGCACAGCAGCCTTCGGGTAGGACTCGTCTCGCATCTTCCTTTGGATCATGCCGATGAAGTCGGATCCCAGTACACGGCTTATAGTAGGTACCACAGAACCAATGACCTCCCGTAGAGAGGTCGATAGTGAGCGCTGGAGTACCGTGTTGACGATATACATAACATCATCAACCGCAGATATTATGTATGGCGGGTTGCCATCCAGAGGTTTAGAGGGGTTCAAGGTTAACCCCGTCGGCGGTTCATCTAGTTGGAAAGCCTTCTCAACCGACCGCCGGAAGAAAAATGTGGTCATTGTATTGAAAGGAGTGGTAAGCCTGCCAGAGATCTTACGACCCAGTGCCGACTTGAGGAGCAGCTCGGGCATGACTAATGGCTCTTCAGGACTCTCATGGTGGTCCTGCGAGATCTTAGATATAGCCTGAAGTAGAATATCTGGCCGACTCACCCTACACTTGCCAGCCAGGAACCGCGAGTACATTGACCAGCGGCCAAGCATCATCGCAGTCTCATTTAGCAGCCCATCGATCTCTTTCATATCCACACCTTCATCCTCACTCTCTACTCCGTTTGTTCCTCCGCCGATTGCAGGCGAACTCGTTCTTGTAATCCCCATGTTCTTTTGGGCGGGCATAAAGCTGTGCACCAAAAATGAGAATGGGTAGCTTTTGACATCCGTCAACCTCCTGTCCACGCTCCTTTCATCGCCCCACATATCCAAGATAATCCCACCCTGAACATCTGCTTCCACTTGTAGCCTTTCGATGACTTTCACCATTTTCCCTTGTCCGTAATGTCTTTCGACCAGCCCTCCGTGGCCATCCACGATCTGCGCAATATGTTCGAAGAGCCTGGTGAGCGCATTGGCATAGAAGAATCCATCCTGCCCCGCGCTCCCTTTTGTCCCCTCCCTCAAGCCTCCTCGAGCCCTGGCCGCAACACCCTGGCAGACATACCTCCCGTAAACTTCCAAGCCAGTGTCTTCTCTCCCGATCAAAGGGAACAGCTTGAAAAACCGTGTAATTTTACTCCCATCCCCTTCGTCGGCCGCCTTCTCAAACTCCCTCAAAAACAGGCCGCAGAGCGATTCCTTTGCGTTTTCGATGGTGATCCCAGGCGCATCTGGCACCTCTACACTTGGCACAATGCGTGCAGCAAAGTTGCCTTCGACGATGTAGTCCGGTATCTTGGAAGCCCGCGCGATGTACCCAGCAGCCGCCTCCCAGTCTTGCGGCGCGCCCATCGACCCTACGACGCCCTGCACGCATGCCTTCAGCTCTGCCACTTGCTCGACTACTCCCAGTGTCTCCTCTACACGCTTCTTTTCGAGGTCGAGCTCCCGGACCTTGCTGGACAGGTGGGATGCCGTCGCCGCCGCTGAGTCCAGCATACCATTGCTGATGTCCCTGGTATGTATGACCTGCGTCCCCAGGTGCGCTCGCAGAAGATCCAAACGCCCTAGTTCGCGAGACAGGTCGGCCTGTGAGGATATAAGCGCCTGCAGTCGTGAGGTGATTGCTGCATCGCGGGTATGCAGCGCGGACAGGGACGCTCGTATCGAAGCTACGGAGGAAGTGTCGTAGATGCTTTGAGTAGCTGAAGCTTCCTCGGACGATGGAATAGCTGATCTGCCGCCATTGGTGAGGCCGGAGGGAGGCATTGGTTTGGGTACGGCATGGGGGTGGGTTGGTGATGCTCTCGGTCTGAAAGCTTCAAGTCCAGGTGGCATGTATTTTTGTGGGCCCGGCAAGAAGCGAGCTTTTATATCAACGACCTCAACCCAATCTCTTCCCATCTCTGTCCTGAATATCAACTTCCATATAAAGACTTCAAAATACTTGCAAGATACTCTCACAGTCTCGATTCTTATGTACAATGACTTATCACCGGACTGTCATGATACCTTACCAGAGATCATGAAATAAATGTCCAGTTCTCTCACGATTCTGAGGCTATCTAGCATTTCATCAAACCCACGTTAACAACCCTCCACATCAGATTCGATCCCTAGGTGCTTCCTGCTCTACCCTTCTAAGTCTATGAATTTAGGATGTCTGTAAATTCCTGTTGCTTGCTTGAAATGGATAGGTGTCGCCCAAAGAGTCGTCCTTTGGTCGGCAATGTGTGGATCCACCATCGCCGCGCAGACCCGTTCAACCGTTATCCTCTGGACTAATGATATATTGAAGGCTGGGTCTCTCAAACTATAGGCTGCTTGAAAGTTCTTGATTGCTTCCATTTCTCTCGTTTTTAGTCATTAAGTTGCTCTCAGGCATGGCAGCATAGCATCATCGCCACCAGCTTTGTGCCCATTGGAAGAACAAAAACTTGACCCATAGTCTGAGACTCAGACTGAGTAATGGGATTTGGGTATAAGTCGGATGCGAAGTGGGAAAATCGAATATTGAAGAAGTTTAGTCTGAAAGTTCGGGACGGAAAGAGAGACATGGGCCTCATTTTCCAGATCCAGTCTTGGGCACTGATGGGGCGAGTTCTCGAGAACGAATGTATTCCTCCATCTCGGTGAGCGCTTTTCTGAGCGTGAGTCGCATCATCAGATGTGTAATGATGGGCTGATACTCTTCCGCAAGCGTATTGAGTATTTCGCTGATATTCGCGGAAGCTAAGGGGCTTATGATGGGATCGCGCCTGGACACGAAACTGAATTTCAATTTCGATATCACTTGCAAAGACTTGGCTGAAGAGAAAACGTTCGACCATTTCTCTCTTGTGTCCGCACTCTCGACATGGTGGGCTACGGATACAATGGCGTCATCTCCAGCAGAACTAAATTTTCCAAGATAGCAGAGCACCAATTCTTGATTAATGCCGCATGGATTCCTCCAAAGGCCCACGGATAAGGGCTGAGATCCCGGTGACAAGACAGATACTTGAGGCCTGCGCGGATCCGGCGTCTCTGTTGAAGAAGTTCGGGCAATTGATACATGGCTTCGGCTTGGTAATGGGCGGGATAGCTGATCATGAACCGAGACCACAACACCTTCTCAAACTCGTCTCTGAATATCGTACTGACGTTTGAGGCTTGCTGGACCCCTTCCAGCAGCAGCCAATCTCTTCCGCCCACCGGCAGTTGCTCAGAGCTGTCCACTCTTAGTGCGACGGCGTTAAGCGTATACTTAAAGCATTTTTTGCGTCTTGGATGAAGCCAGTATCTATACTTATCGTTTACATGCCGCATTTCCCGGTCTCCCCAAAGATTATTCACCAGCGGCCAAGCTCTGCTCAGTTTTGGTGAGACGCCACTGAGAATATAGCAGGTTTTGCGTTCTGGATGAAGCTTATATCTTTGGACCACGGTTTCTTCGCGCTTTGCCCGCAGTTCTTTGGGAATCGGATCCCTTTTCCGGGCAGGTCAATCCAGCCATCTCTTGCAGTAGGTCTCGTGGCTATTATCACGGATGGCTTCGTGGTCCTCAAAGTGAAATTGCATTTCAAGTTCCAGAGGAATATAGCTTGTGTTTGTTGCGCCATCGTACATGCATAACTGACCAAGCATAAGCCAATAGATATTTCTACGGACATTCCAAGGGGGTTTCCTAAAGTGGAAAGGTCCCGATCTTTCTGACCGGTTAGTGCACTTGACTGCATGAGTCTCAAATCCCCTTGAAATCTGTACCTCGCAAATCTCCTAATCTATTTCAGCAGGAACGCCACTGCTACCAGAAATAAAGGGTCCTAGGCTTACTAACTCGGCGTCCAATAAGCGATACCTAAAGCCATTTCGGTCTATAAGTCTGCCAGAAAGAAAAGTCTCCAAAGCCATCGTTACAGGGAATCCGATCGATTGTAACAGATGAAATAATTTCCTCATCATAATCATCCAGGACTTCATCCTCGTCCACACCAGCATCGTCATCGTCGTCAAAGTCCTTTTGAGTCTTCCTCTCCTTGTTATGCGACATCTCTGCCGATCCCTTTTTCATCTTTCAAGAACTCCCTTCTGCCTTGGGTAATACGGTAAAGGAATCTGATAATAGACCATCGGTCGATCTACGGAAAGCTTGCTTGTCAGTCGTCAGCTGATCGTTAGCATATATGGATGCGGCGGCTTCGTCTACCCGTATAGTGATAAGCTTCAATAAATGCTGGCTGGCGCTCGGCTCTCGCTAGGGCTCCGTCGTCGTCGGCTACAGTTCGTAAGGTAAATCCAATAGCTGTCGAGTGAAGGCGCTTGCTCCTAACGTTGAATTCATCGTTCGCAAAGCGCGTTCGATATGAGAGAGAACTCGCTTTGCTTTGCTTTCCTGCCATTTTCGCAAGAATATATAGCTAAGCTATCGGGCGCAATGCTTTGCAGAATTCCATGTTGATTTCGAAGGGAGGAGTGGAGGGGGAGATCGAAGCTCTTTATAAGAAGCGGAGCAGAGCTCGGGTAGTAAGTAGCTCGCTTGTGGGCTAAGAGGTGTCAATAAATGATTTGATAATAACAATCGAGTTCTTCTCTAACTTGGAACATTCTTGGTATATGAATAAGCAAATGGATATATATGGCCGAGCTTCTGAAGAAACTTCAAGGCAAATCCGCCTAAGGTCTGTAATGCTGTCTGTCCCTGGGGAGAAACTTTTTTGCTGAATCATCTTTCTTTTTTGTAAATCAATATCATAGGACTCCGCAATCATGAGAATGCATGCAGAGGACTCTGTGCGAAATTTCTCACTTATTTCCTAGGCCACTAATCATGAGTCCTGATCAAATTATGCATCGGAGATGGCAGAAGCACCAGGGAGGTTTGCAGATACGAGAGAGGTTGATAATGTACCCTACTTTTATTTCACAGCAAGATGTGTCCGTCACCTATATGCTGTTAGATCAATAGCGCTCGATATGTATGTATACATGGATGTATGTATGGATATGAAGAAGGGATTATTTTAAGGCTTTTGATGCTATGGTTCTGATTTCAGGTCACTGGGATTGCAAAAGTCGTTGTGTAATGTAGAAACAATACAATCAATCATTAGGTGAAAAAAAAGGGGGTTAGAGAAAATGATAAAAGGGCAGCTCGTTTCAAGCCTAGCACTACCAATCCCATCGCTAGCACCTGAAACTTCGATTGGGGTTCTCATAAATATATATAGATGCATATATGCGGTAAAAGGAGTTTCATGGTAGAGTGATTTTTCTTTTCATTTTTTTTTCTTATTCCTTTTTTATTTTGATTTTTTCCTTCTTTTTCTTTTTAGCGGCTGGCAAGATCAGAGCATGCCGACGCTGTCCCAGTCGAAATCCCAGAGGAGCTGATCCGTCCCGTTGGTGGAGAACATGGCGTCCAGCGCGGCAGGGGCCCATACCCCTTGGGCCGGCATCTGCGCCTCTGATTGTGGCTGGCCTCCGCCTGCCTGTGGCCAGAGCCCATTCACGAACGGGTTGATGTTGTTGTTATTGTTATTGTTATTATTATTATTGTTACTGTTGTTAACAAAGACATCTGCATCATGAAGATGATTACGATCTTCCTTGTGTGCCACCACTAGGTGCGACAGCGGTCCGGTAGTATCATGCCGGGGCTCTGGCAGCCTTGGGCAGCTGTCCATGCCACTCGCTGCAGCCGAGATCTGCAGACTGTTCGTCTCGAGCGGCGGTAGCGCAGGTGGCTCCCCGAGGGGCTTTGACTTCTTGGCGCAGGCTTCGTAGAGCGCCTCCTTCAGCTGCGCGAGCTGGTCGTAGTAGTCGCCGGCGGGGACGTTCCCGTCGTCCTTCATGGACCGCAGGAGACTCCACGCGAGCCCGATGCCGTCGCGGTCTGGGCTCGTCTTGCCCTCGATGCCGCTCATGGCGGACGACAGCATCAGAACCATGGTCGAGGAGAAGATGGAGAGGGCGTCGTAGAAGCCGTACATGGCCAGGCAGCCGTCGACCCAGAGCTGCGACAGGATCTGGTTCGAGGACCTCGCGGCTTGAATGCACGCGTCGGACAGTGCGCATACCATATGGGGCAGCGGGTGCGGCTTCTCCGAGCCTGGGCCGCCGGTCTGGTTGAATCGCTGTCGGAATACATAGAAGAGGATGGGCCGCGTCGTTAGAATGACACACTGCAAAGTGTCAGTCGACTTCTCTGGCAAAATGGTCCAGCCCCGAGCATACCTGATTGAAATGGAGGTGCAACGAAGCCACCGAGCGATTGGCATACATGGGAGAGTTGTAGGGCTCCAGCCTCAGCATCGGGGGCAATCCGCTCTGGAAGTTCCTCAGGCTGGTGAAGATGGTTTGGACGCCCTGGACGAACGTGTTGGCGCGACCGGGCTGGGGAATATGGTAGATGTTCCCCAGCACGTTTTCCACGATTCGGGCGAGGGATATCGAAGCTAAAAGATAGGCCGGGTCGTAGAAGTCCGCGCTGTCCTTGGGCGACAGGCCATCGAGAGAGGGCAGATCTGCGTCGATGTCGGTATCCTGCATCATGGCGGGATGGCCAAGTTTGGAGGACATCATACGGTCCAGGCAGTAGACGGTCCACCAGACGCGGATGCGATGCTGGCGCTCTGCAGCCGAGAGGGGGGAGCTTTCGGGAATTTTTCGGTGCAGACCAAGCATCATTGATAGACGCATAGCGAGTCCAATGTAGGTGTACGCGGTGTTCCGCCGATTGAGAGTTGTGGAATAAAAAGACTTCAGATGGGGACGAGTTAGCCCACGCCTCAGTGTAGAACTTCATCCGCCCACTTTTCCACTGTTTACTTTTCGCTTGCTGCATGGTAACGTTTGCGACGGCGGACCGGACCCGGCCTCTGGTTACGGGCGAGGACGCAGGGTATACTCACAAGAAGGAGAAGAGTCTCGATGTACTCGACCGTAGGCTCCTCGTACAGATCCTGGAAAAAGTCCAGAGCCTTCAAGAAGAACGCTATTCCCGGTACACCATTCCCACTCGGCTTTGTGGATCGGACAGTACTAAAGTGAGATTAGGGAGTCAGTGACTCGCTTGCGAGGGAATTTACCGAAGAAGGAACCGGAAAAGGAACCGGAGAAGGATAGGGGAAAGGATAGGACAAGCGGATCCCGGGAAAGACTAGCATCGCCACTCACTAGATCTCTCCCAGCGCAAACACAGTAAACAACCGGCACAGCCAGATGGGATCATTCAGCACCTCTAGCTTATACGTCTCCTCCAGCCGCTCCAAGAACGACGTCCGCCGCAACAGATGATAGTCGGGCCCGATGAAGCGCAGGACCACGCGCACCAGCAGCTGCGCATCGCTCCGATTGGGCAGCTGGCAGTCCGTACACGACGCCCGCAGCATCCGCTGGTTCTTGTAGTAGCGCGGCCGGCTGGGCCCGGCCTGGTCGTCGCCGCGCAAGAACCGCCGCAGCTTCGTGCCGAAGGTCGTGCAGGCCGCCTCGCCCACGTAGGGCTGGATGTGCGTCTCGTCCACGTCGAGGTCCAGGTCCTCCTCGCTCACGATGCTCTGCCCGGGCGGGCTGAACGTGTCGGGCTCGTGCGTGCTCGCGGCTTGGCCGGCTGCGAACCGTTTCTGGGCCGGCTCGTGATGCGGTGACTTGCGCTTCAGCGACTGGTTCTCGCCTTCGAGCTTCTTGAGGTACCTGGTAAGATGGTGATGCCAAAAGTCAGCGAGATGAAACAAAAACGGAAAGGAAAAGGAAAAAGAGAAAGATAGAGAGAAGACACAGAGCCCTCCCAGCAGCAGCAGCAGCAGCAGGGAGACTTGGAAAGCAGAGCAGTCGTCGTGGTGCCGGTTTCTGACATACCGTTCCGACACGGCGACCTTCCTGTCGCGCACGGGATAGATACAGTCCACGGGCGTCTTCGATCCCTTGCAATTCCTACACGGCGTCTCGCCGCTACACTTCACCTTCTGGGTATGGCATCTCTTACAGGCGATGTAGCTCCGCACAATCCTTTTGCTCCGGAGGGCGTCCTCCTCCTGGCCATTCAAGGGTCCGGCTGACCCGCGCCGGAACGCGTCCGGCGACGCAGACTGTGACATATTTTTTTCGTTCCGCCGTCCGTCCGTGTCTCTTAACGAGATGATCGTCCTAAGTGCAGCGGCCGGCCCGGGACTGATATCGCTGGGTGCAAGCTCGCGCCAGACGTCTTGTACAACATTTGCGATCGGGGAACGAGTGGTTAGGAAGAAATAGGCTGTGGAGCGGTAAATTCTCCAGAGAACACTGTGCACTTACTTACTACTGTACTCGACGTCAATACTCTGTACTTGGGATCAGATAATCGGCATTCCACTTTTTTTCCGCTTGTCGTGTGGTTCGGCAGACTCTTTTTTGATTTTCTTTTGTGCAGGGCGGCGTCTTGGGATCTCGAGTCATGATCACGTCAGCTAGAGCAGACCCACCTGCGAGCTTTCGTGGCACGCTGAGTAAGCATCGCCGTCTTGTTGGAAGATGGATCTCCCAGTCCTCATCCTTCGCGTCAACACTGACCCTTCACCCTTCACCCTTCACCCTTCCACGCCGCGCTTGGTCGTGAAACAGAGTTGTCAGGCATTTGTTGACATCCATATCACAATGTGGGTCTCTTAGCCGAGATGCCCCTGGATCCTCCAGGCGGAGCAGCAAGAAATACCCCCCTCCCCTTAATTAATCGTTATGCGGAGTTACAGCGTTTATCCTGCAAGTAATCCCCCCTGTTTTGACCTACTAAGCAGACTGACTAGCTTAATCGAGCAGTACCTTTACCGTCTGTCCTTCGCTTCGTGTCGCTGAACGCGTTTGTCGTTTATCGCCCGACAACGCTCTGGCACACTCTTTAACAAGCGCTTGAAATTCAAATTCGCCGACCTTCTCCTTAGCGTTACGAAGCGAGGGATCGTAAGGTATTGTTCGATCAAGCTAGTCAGTCTGCTCAGTAGGTCAAAACAGGGGGCATTAATTAAACGCTGTACCTCCGCATGGCAACTCTGTGCTGTACGAATCTTATGACGAGAGAAGAAACATAGTAGGTAGTAAATTGGAATTAGAATAACTTTTGGCTAACCTGTTCATACTTTATCTACATAGCTACGACGTATTAGGGCTGTACTTTGGTAGAAATGTAAGTGGTCCCCTTCCCAAACTCCGCTGCTCACAACAGGACTTTGTCCAAGAGCCGCTGATACCTCGGAACCCGCACCCCGGCCTTGCTCCGCACAAAGTCCTCCTCCTCATCGTCAATCGCCTGCTTGCCACTAAAGAGGTCGGCCGCGCTGCTCGGGACCAGCCGGGTCTTCATCGCCACCTTGTAGGAGACAAACAAGACGAGGAAAAAAAAGACGCCAAAGTAGCACGAGATGAAGCCCGAAGCGGTGAAGGCCCCGGGCCAGAAGATGTAGAAGCCGTTGAAGAGCACGATGACGAAGGCGAAGCAGAGCGAGAAGTACGCGGCGTAGGGCTGGCACCCGAATGGCGTGCGGAAGTAGAGGGCGTCGATGCCGATCTGGGCGGCGACCGCCTGGCGGAACCGGATGAACGTGACGAGGATGATCATGTAGGTGATCAGGAACGAGACGGAGGAGAGGTTGATGAACCAGCCCAGCACGGTGTTGGTCGCGTGGGTGGCGTTGAGGAAGGTGAGGCTGGACACGGCTGCCACGGCCGCGAGCGCATAGATCGGGACGCCGTTGCCGAGACACTGCTTGAAAACGGAGGGGGCCTTACCGTTGATTGCCAGCGCGTAGAGCGTGCGGGACGAGGAGTAGACGTAAGCGTTGCCGCAGCTCCAGGCAGAGGTGAGCACGATGGCGTTGACGAGGTTGGCCACACCGCGGACCCCGTGGCGCTCAAGGCCGATGACCCAGGGCGAGGTAGCGGATCCCGTCGACCCGTCTTGGAGCGAGCGCAGCAAGGTGGGGTCGTCCGCCGGGCAGATGATTCCCAGCGCGAGCGTACCCAGAATGTAGAACAGGCCGAGGCGGAAGTAGATCTTCTTCGCTGCTCGCGGCAGGACGACGCGGGGATTCTGCACCTCGGCCGAGGTCATCATTACGACGTCTGGTCCTCCGCAGGCAAACGCGGCATAGATGAACACACGCCAGAACCCAAGGAAGCGGCCGAGCGCCCCCTGCTCCAGATACTCCTTCATGGGGGTTTCCCAGTACCGGAAGCCGTAGCGGTCATTGTTCGGGTTCCCGCCCAGCATCGTGATGAACGTCGCCGCGATCAAGCTCAGCATGAGCATGATCTTGAACGAGGCCGTGGCGAACTCGATCTCTCCATACGCCTTGACGGCAACAAGGTTGAGTATCAGCGAAAGACCCAGCGTGAGGAGGATGTAGTAGCCGGGGTTGGTTTCGTCGTCCCAGAACGAGATGACCGATGCGCAGCCTGTGAAGTCGGCAATGACCAGCATGAGGGCGCCGTACCAGTACACGTATCCACCGGCGAATCCCAGAGCGGGATCGACGTAGCGTTCCGCAAACTGGAAGATGGAGCCGCGGACGGGCAGCCACGAGCACATCTCGGCTGCTGCCATGAACAGTGGCCAGAGCATGATGACGGAGAAGAAAGTGAAGCCGAGGAACACGCTCAAGGGACCGGATCTTGCGAGTGCTGAACCGATACCGATGAACATCCCGGTCCCGATAGACGATCCGACGGTGATAACTGTAGGGCACCGGGGGAGGTTAGTTTATCGCTTCATCATGAAATTCTCGAGGATAGAATTTTGAAGTGAAGGCTGTAAAGCAAGATTCTCCATTCTTAAGTGAGAGAGAATGGGTCGCCGAAATACGTACGTTGAACGTGTCGGTTTCCGAGACCTCTGACCGTCTTCCCGTAGCGTTTCTGCGCGTCCTCTGAGATCTCGGCATAGCGAATGCCATTCCGCGTTTCGATTTTGTTGTTGTTATTGCTGCTGTTGTTGTTGTTGTTGTTTTTATGGTTGTTGCTTCGGTTGACCTCCGAGGACGAAGATGATTCGATATCCGCAGGATCGACACCGGCGACCACTTCTTCAGATAGCCTCTTCTCCATCCTGGGAAATCTTCCTGACAGGACCAAACCCTAGCAGTGATTACGCTCTTGGTATAAGCTAATTAGTTTTCTCAAACTGCCAAGATAATTGCGTATCGACCGAAAACCTTGTGTCAAAAACAATACAGTACAATCGGATCAGGATCAAAACGACAAAATATAACACGCGGTTTTCCGCGCACGCCAGAATGAATTCCTGGGAGAAAGAAATCTATCGTTCTCAGCGCGAGAGCATGACGTTACTTTTTGTAGTGATTCTGTTGAGAAGTCTGTCTGCAATATTTTTTTTTTCCGAGTGGGGGTAGCCGAGCCCTGTATTTTCTTTACCTTCGCTTAGCTCCCCAGCCGAAATCAGGGTCAGGGTCTTCCTGGCGGGCCGACCCACTGAGCGATATCAACATCAACATCAGCCCAACATCAATACCAACACCAACATGCATAAAGTACATAACGTGCACAGCTTTTTCAGGAAGTCTGTTGGTTATCTTTACGTACGTATCCATGGCCTAATCAACTCAGGCCTTTTACTCGGATGTCCTGCATCTAGTTTTGGCAAGTCGACTCCCAAAATTACTTATAGATCTATCATCCTGAGCAATCCATCTAGTCCTTCACAAAGCATGCTCTCCGTCTCTCGATCATTTACCGTATCTGCACCGTCTATACGCCCCGCTCTTCAGCTGTGCTGGAAATCCCGACAGAACCCGAAGACTTATACCCGTCAGTCTAGAGTTACCGTATATCACAGCGATAGTTAAGTCACTTGCAGTAGCCAAACTCTGGGGTATGCGGGCTTTTCCCGATTGAGCCAAAACCCCCACATGAGAGCCCGAATTTCCAAACCTGGAGAACCGGATCGTGATCTGCTCGAACGGCCGAGGCGGCGAGTTGGTCCATCTCCGCTAGCTCAGACAAGAAAGTAAATTGGAGGGTATATACCTCCTCACCACATCAAGTCCCGACCTGCTCAGCTCTCCTTATTTGGTATATATATAGATCAGGAATGATCATGGCGTCGCCGCCCGGGATCCTCTACGCTCACGCCATCGTGATCACCGTCAACTCGAACCGCGACATCTACGCCGACGGCAGTCTCCTCGTCAGAGAAAATGCCATCGCAGACATCGGGACATCGCACGCCATGCTCGCCAAGTATCCCGATATCGAGGTCCGCGACCTGACCAATCACATTGTGATGCCCGGGCTGATATCAACACATATGCATGTGGTGCAGTCTCTGTTTCGCGGAACCGCCGATGACTGCGACTTGGTCACAGTATGCGCGTTTCTTTTTTTTCCTTCCCCTTCTTCTTTTTCCTTTAGGATCATTCCTCGATTCTTCCTTCTCTTTTTTTTTTCCCCTGTCAATTTTTTCAGATAAGAGGGCGGCTAATGCCCAACGACAGTGGATGTGTGACAGGATCTGGCTCATGCAAGGACATGTCTTGCCGGCGGAAGCCTATGCTGCAGCGCGCCTGTCCCTCGCAGAGATGCTCCTCGGCGGCACGACCACGTTCCTCGAATCGCTGTGGGCTGAGAGGTACGGATTCGCGCAGCTCGTCGACGCCGTCGCCGAGTCAGGCATCCGTGGCTGTCTCGGCAAGGTGGTGATGGACGTCAACCCCGACCAGCCGGCCTTCCGCGCCCGGATGCACCGAGGACTGGTGGAAGGGCCCGAGAGCTTGGAGAGCGCGGTCAAGATCTGGGAGCGATATGACGGCGCAGCGGATGGGAGAGTCCATGTCTGGTTTGGCGCCAGGACGCCAGGGGGGGTGAGCACGCCCTTCCTCACCCGGATGTGTGCCGAGGCCAAGGCGAGGAACATCCATATCACGATGCACTGTCTCGAGGAGGAGATGGACACGCAGGTCTTTAAGCAGTTTCAACAGTCGCCGATGGAATACTGCGACTCGATCGGCCTCTTGTCCGACCGGACGGTGTTGGTACATATGTGCTGGGTCGAAGGCGAGGATATCAAGCGAGTCCAGAGAACAGGGACGCATATCGCACATTGCCCGGCATCGAACATGAAGCTCGGATCTGGATTATGTCCCGTTCCCGAGTTGCTGGCCGAAGGTGTCAATGTGAGTATCGGGTGCGATGGGGCGCCGTGTAACAACATGCTCGATATGTTCCAGGAGATGAGGCTGGCTGCCATGATCCACAAAGGTACCACCCGCGACACGAAAGTCGTATCGGCCGAGGAAGCTCTCGAGATGGCCACGATCAACGGCGCGAAAGCTCTGGGACTCGATGGTCCTGGTGGGATTGGTAGTTTGGAGATTGGTAAGAAGGCTGACTTTGTAGGAGTCCAGTTGAACAGAGCGCACCAGGTTCCCAACTACGATCCCGTGGCCACCGTGGTCTATGCGACTAATGCTGGGGACGTCAATTTGGTGGTTATAGATGGAAAGGTAATCGTGGAAGATGGAGTCCTAAAGACGATGGACGAGGCCGAGGTCATGAAGGAGGGGATCGCGGCGGGAAAGGCTGTCATCAAGAGATCGGGCCTTGAAACTACAATCGTGCCCAAGTGGCCTGTCATAAGAGGATAATGTTTAGAAGAATTTCGATTTCCTGCGTCCACGTCGAAGCTGTCCATTTATTAGCAAAGGCAACAGCCGTAGGGGATAGATAGACAATATGAGAGAGTTGAAATTTGGTAGAAGGGATATTCGCTTGAGTGATTCCACCGCAGATGGCTATGAAGCGGCTCGCCATGGCTTTGCTCTCTTCCAGCTCGTCAATGACGTGAGAGGATCTGCAGCTCAGACTCTCAAACAACATTATTTCCCGGGTAGCCAAAAGGAGCATCTTGAATAAATTTGAGGCGGTGGACCCCCTTGAGAAAATGCCAAGTGATAGTATTCCAGTGTGTATATGCAGACGATTGAGCCGTAATCCCAAAGACGTTCGGAGGCAAATCTGCAAAGCCGCATCCGACAAGCTCCCAATATATAGCTTAGCAGGTCTGCATACCGTTCCCCCTTCAACGTGATTCTCGTGACGGCCCTTACACGTTTTTTTTTTCTCTTTCCGTTATTCGACTTTAGCGTTGCGTTGCGTTGCCCGGACTGAGACGAGACGAGACGAGACGAGATGCCCTTTCCGTTTTACTATACCTTAGGTTGAGTTTTGCCAGAAACAGGGGAGAGAGAAAGTCTGCCTACTCCTACGCAATAGACAGACAGGCCCTTCACACAAGCAGTTATTGAAGTAATATGATATAAGCCTGTAGTATCGAGGGAGGTGCAGTGTGTGGCTGTGGATATATAACCAGTTTGCTATATACAAAGTTGGATATCAAGGGCCTTGGGAACTGATATCAGCCGGCCGGGGGTGAAAGAGCTTTAGAAGCAAGGGTATTGGAATCTCGTCTCTCTTTTTTTTTCTTCGCTAAAAAAGTACTCATTCCGTAATCTTCAGCTTGTCCAAGGTATCCTAGGTGCTTTGGCCGACAGTGACTTTCTCCGCTCCTTCCCCTTCCACGTGCCCGTCCGGTTGTGCAACGACGCCTTTCTTCGCAGCGGCAGCGGCGGCAGCTGCGGCGCGTTTCGCTGGGTCTCCCTTATCTTTCACTTTCTTTACCTTGACTGGGGCCTTCTCGGGTGGGTAGGCTTTCAGTTGAATCTCCTGCCATTCTTCAGATGCTTGATACTCGGCAACGATCGGGGCTAGGATGGTGTTGAGGTGGATTGTGAGGGCAGCTTTCAGGAGTTGGGGTGTGAGCTGCGAGAAGTTAGCACGATCATACTTCCGGACATTCCAGGTTTCGCCAAGAGCTCAAGTTTGGATGCCAACCGGGACGATGAGGATATTTGAAAGTGCCCCCAGAGAGTAGGACAGGCAGATGGGGCCTGGGGACTGGGACGAGCAGAGGTTGTGGGAAGACGTACGATATCAGCAGTGTAATCCTCCTTCATCTTGTCCACCGATGTGTAGAGCAGCGGCTCGGCATCGCGCCTTTCCACCGTGAATGCTAGATTGGGGTCTTTCAATGCCAGTGCCCGGAAAATGACATGCTCTACAAACGCGATAACCCCATTGCCCTCCGTCACTTTTGGCACGCACTTTGCCTTCTTCAGCTTCTTCTCAACAGCCGCTGGGTCATCCAACAGATCAATCTTCGAGTCCGGGTCACTCGCGCTCATCTTCGCCGCCTCGCCCAAGCCTGGTACCATCGAGTTCATCAAATGTGCCCGCACGCCGTACCCAATTTTCGGGAGGTTCTCCATCGCGAAAGTGAAGATCTTCCGTTGATCAACACCGCCAAACTGAGCGTCGACATCTAGGTACTGCTCATCCAGCGCCTGCATGAGCGGATAGATCAAGCCTCCCAACGTCGGGTCGTCTGTCTGCTTCACAACCTCCGCGCCCGCCTTCTGCGCAACATTGACCCGTGTGATCCCCTCCAGCTTGAACCGATCCATCGTGTATTCTTTGTTCAGCTGGTACGAGCTGCCCAGCACGAACTCCAGCCGCGCCAGATCAACGCCCACGGCCTTCAGCAGCGCCTTGATGACCCTCTCGTAATACTTCGCGCGGTATTCGACGAGCTCGAGGGGCGCCTTCATGTTGTCCAGGTAGCCGTGGATGTCTGCGAGAAGGACCTTGACGTGGCATCCTGCTGCGAGCAGCTCTGCGATCTTCATACATGGCACAAAGTATCCGCAATGGGGCCGGCCAGTGGTCGCGGTGCCCCAGTAGACCTTGAGCGGGCGTTTCTCCTGCAGGACAATTCTGTCGATAATTTCGGGGTTCAGCACCTCAGCCAGATTGGCCTTGATCAATGTCACCGACTCTTCTGGGGACATTGAGGATGCCATGGTGGGTGTATGTTGTACGGAGGTTGTCGAGATTCACTCTGTGTCCGCGATAACTTTGGGTGGAGGGGTCTTGGAGGGGTCGGATCTCGCGTACCGTATCACGTGCGCTGGGTCTCAGAAGTGCCAGGTGAGGTTGGGTCTCGGGTACTTTCAGCGTTGTTGACATCGTCCTCCTCTTTAGTAGTGGGCCTTGACGTCGCAACTTTTAGGGGCCTTAATCTCCGTCACGCGTTTCGCAGACTGACTGACGCATTAGAAAACCACAGCAGCTTTAAGTACCATACCAGCTATGGTCGATGTATTGAAAATCGGAAGCGCAGCAAGGATGATCTTTTCAAACCGGAAAGGAAGATTGCAATATTATCAATAATCAACTAAACGTAAATTCGACTACATACTTGAGGTAGTCGTCGATACGGGAAACAAATGACAAATACTTTGATCAGTGAATGCCCTGGATGTAAAGCAAGATCACAGTCGGCGCACTGGATATTATTATTAGCCGCACGATTATTTAAAGCCTCGGTTGCTAATATTAGTAAAACGAATCGTAGAATTAATCGAAGGAATACACTAATAAAAAAAGAAACATATATCTCTTCTTCCACTTAATTAACTTAAGTTCCGTTTGCCATCTTCTTCTTCTGCAAGCTTGTCTTCTTCTACTAGCTTTCAGAATTACATCGGACATTTATAACTACGATGCTACTATTATCGAAGTCCACTTGCGCAGTCCTGCTGGCCTCTAGCTCTCTTTTGAATAGAGCTGAAGGAAGACAAGTTATCGGCTATCGAACAGTTGACAAAGTAAGCTTCACTTGATCTAATCGTCCGTTACCGACAATTACATACGATGCCTAGCATAAGCTTACGCTAATTACGGGGATCATAGGACGAAGCCGACGTGATTAATACTTTCGGAAAGCCGTTCAGAGATAAAATATTCGACATGGATGATACTTTCCTTCACCAATTAGGAAATGGCTTTTACATGAGTAAGAAGTTTGATATTTATATCTATATATCGTCCCGTCACTTCTATACGCGAAGCTAATTACTTTCAAATAGCGAACATGCCTGCTAGCTGGGAGGGTGATCCATTGGATTGGTATTGTGTCATCGAAGCGGATACTCACAAGATTATAGAGGCGCCCAAAATATTCATCCCAGAATTTTGGGACATACCGACTGAGGCTGGGCCTGAACGAATGTACCTATGGTCCGGAGTGGAAGGACTCATCTTGGAATACATCGGCTCGAAAATCTCCCACCCTAAGGAGGCGATTCGCTTTGGGTGGATCTTATTTAGGGAATGGGAGTTGCAAATGCTCATTCCAACTGATTTGTTGAACGATGATAAGTTTGATTTATGGGGTGAATGCTTCGAAACAAAGGATGAACTAAGGCAACGTTCGAACGAAAATATTGAATGGACGGCTTGGACTATTAGTGGAAATCCTGGATACCCGAGCGACGAAGGTGTTTTGTAGTAAGTCGGGGAGTATGAAACTCTCGAAATGAACGTGAAAATGAAAACCTCGAGACTGGTTCGAAGTGAAATCGATATGGCAACTTATTTTCGATTGCGTTTGGTGACTCTCTCAAGCCCAGTTTCCGGCTGATGGAAATGCCAAGCTTGTACATACACAACTTAGATCTTCTTTCAGACTTTCAGTCCAGTGGTTTAGTGCCTGAAACATGCTTTGGCTTTGTGCTATTAATCTCCGATTAAGAATATTTCAGCGCGGCTAAACGAAGAATTGTTGGTGAACTTTTTGTCCGGACCACTCTCGGCTGCGTTTAAAAATTCGCTTAATATAATATTGCTTACGTTCATTTGATTAGCTAGCTTGAAGATGGCGGTACCGCTGCTGTATCGAAAGTAAACAACTCTTCGTACGTCAGCGTTTTTTAATCTTTTTGACTAGCTAGCTTAGAGCTGAATTCGCAAAGCGATTGGTCTTAGATTTAAAGTGGATTAAAAAGGGCGCGGGGTAAGAACATCCAAAATGTCGCGACGGAAAGTTTGTAACCGTGCGCCAATAAGGCAAGCTCAACGAGTGACGGAGCGCAGCCGACAGCTTGCCTTATTGGCGCACGGGTAGTGTTGTACGGAACTGGGCATGCCTCAGGTTCCACCCAAGCTACAGATCAGAGGGCCTATTTGCGCCCTTGGCGCACTGGAGCTCTGAGGTATACTATTCCCCATCTTGATGAGCTTCCTAGATAGAACATACTAAGCTTCATTCAATCATCGGAATCTCCTCCTGACCTTAGTGCTTCATCAGCACTACAGTTAGAATAGAATAAAATAAAAATGATAATTAAATAAGATCAACTGCGAGATGTTATAACATTAATTTCTTATTATCGTAGCTCGTTGCGTTGTTAAAGAATATTGATAAGGAAGATTTTCGTAGCAAATGTTTAGCAGAGAAAAACCAATTTCTATCATCGCATCCTTGGTCGGAGTACAAGTTAAAGGCAGTAGCAGCCTCTTTAAGTGTTAATATGAGCAACTATCTCTCTAGAATTTCATTCCTAGTGATGGCCCTTTAGGTCCGATGCAAGCAGCTGTCCCTTGAGCATTTCACTCTTAGTAGTAGCCTTCTTGAGCGTAATGCAAGCAGCTATCTTTCTAGCACTTCATTCCTACTAACAGCCCCTGAGGTCCGATGCAAGCACCTGTTTCTCTAGTATTTTATTCTTAATAATAGCCCTCTCAGGTCTAATGCAAGCAATCGTTTCTTTAAATTTCTCTCCCCCCTCAGTTTTCAATATTTATAATGTATATGAGTCGACATTAAGAACCATGTGACGAACGGCACCAATATCAACACTTTCCCCAAAGATCCATACGCGAGTCTATTAAGCGAACACAAGCAAGCGAGAAAAACAAATGCTTCCAATTTATTTCTTACCACTCCAAAGGTACGCGGACTCACGGACTTCGGAATCCAGCCCCTCTTATCAGCTCGCGTGCAGGTTGGGTAAGATCTGGATTTCCCCGTTGCGCTCGGCTTGGGTATGATTTATAATGAACGGTAGATAGATGTGGGTGTACGATATCCCTTCCCACGCCCCCAACTGCTCCAAGTTCAGCCCTGATCACGATTCACGAAGCCTTCTTATTGAACAAGGCCCCAATCCCAAGATACAAGGCCACAAACGGACCCAGGAGCACCATATCCCAGCCTCCCCTCTTCCACCAGCCCATCCGCTTCCCCGGCGGTTCCAGCGCCATCTTCCCCTTCATCTCCAAGCCCCCCGGCCGCACCAGCCTCAACTCGTGATCGAACAGCACCTCCAGCACCTTGGCCGCCGCCTCCAGCGGGCCCACCCTCTGCCGCACCACCGACAACATCTGCATCCGCCTGCTGTTCATGCCGAAGGTGCCCTCGCGGTCCTCGAGCAGCAGTCTCGCCTTGTGCACCGCTTCCGCGACGGTGAAGTCGTGCTTGTCCAGCCGCAGGGCCATCCCGCCGTTCTCCTCGCAGCGGAGCGCGTACGGGTAGTGGTCCCCGAAGATGGGCATGCAGAGCATCAGGACCCCGTGGAAGATGGCCTCGTGCGTGGACTGCGCGCCCGCGTGCGAGATGAAGAGCTTCACCGAGGGGTGTTCGAGGATGGCGCGCTGCGGTGCGAACGGCACCATCATGATGTTGCTGTCCTTGGCGAGCAGGTCGTCGTCGCTGCCCTCTTTCGTCGGGGCCGACGGTTCGCCGCCCGCAGGGATTTTCTTGATGGACCAGATCGCGCCGTCGATGTGCCCGGACTGGAGCAGCACGCGGATCGTGTCCCGCAGCTTGGTGAAGCGCACCAGCGTCATGGACGCCAGGGTCCCGAAGCCGATGTACACGACGCTGCTGCGGGCCTCGAGGAAGGTTGAGAACTCGGGGGTGAGAGGCGCCCAGCTGGCTTTCATGAGGGGCCCGACGGGGCAGACCAGCGGGTCGAGGGGCACGGGCGTCTCGAGGCCCATGAAGGAGTTGATGAAGCTGATGTGCGCGCGGTCTTTGATCTTGGTGTTTTGCGCACGGAGCGCAAGCCGGTTCCTGATGAAGGGGAGGAGACCGCTGAGCAAGCAGAGCGCGATCCAAGTCTCGCGGGTGCGTTGCACAAGCGTTGCGTTCTCGGTATTCATCAGGGTCTGTTGTTGGCCTGGGATACCGGCGATGCCAGGGGCGAAACCCAGACTTTGTCGAGAGTCAGTATCACATTGTGGTAACCGTCTTTTTTTCGGGTGAAGCTTGGGGAACAGGGAGCTCTCATGAGGTCTCGGCTCTCGCTAAAGACCTGTTCTTGCTCCATCTGAATACCTTCAAGACAGGGAGGTGGGAAATTGAATGCACGCTCAACATACGGAAAACTAATCTGCGTGCAAGACGTCGCATACGGGATGTTGAACTCCAGCGCGAGATCTATCGCCGCAATCTCAAAGAAGTCCGCAATCACGAAGTCGATTTTCTCGGGGCCTGTCCGCGGCGCCAGGATGGGCTTCAGATTCCGGTGGATTTCCGGGTAGAAGGAGTCGAAATACGTAAGTGTGGCTGCCATGGCCTTCAGACCTTTGCGCTCCGTGGCGACGGCCTCGCACAGCTCGTGGTGGATCTGCGCGGCCTTGTCATCCATAGCGTGGCACACGGAGATGGTGTTGGAGGCCCAGGAGGGAAGGTTGTGGATTTGGCCTTCCATGCCGGCGATGGTGATCTTGTGGCCATAGCTGTGCAGGACTTCGCAGATCTCAAGGACGGGGGCTTTGGAGTTGGAGAAGGGTGGTCAGCTTTGAATCTCATGAGATGATTTGGAGGGGGAGGACAAGGGAAGTTGGGTTGTACTGAGATGTGTTCTCCTCCCTACCACGGCAATAGCGAGGATATGTCTGGGTGGGATGGCGGAAGACGGCATGATGGATGTAATATACACATCTCGTCTCAGCAATAGCAGACGCGAACATCCATCTATATATTTACCAGCCAATGCAGCCGACCTGGAAACGGATATAGAATACTCTGTCAGACAGATAAGAAAGATAGAAAAAAGTGTTCATGTAATTAATTGACATCTTGTTGGGGTACCGGTGCAGCCGTAGTTGGCCGCTGAATCATCGGTCGGCCTATCGGTGAACGTCGGCCGATAGAGAGACAGCCTACAAAATTAACTGTTATCCCTGAGGTCGGAGGTAATCATAAAGATGACCGACCGGGGATTATCTGTTTCTGTTGTTGTTTTGGTCCTGTCTCGCTTCGCCTGGTAGTACATCTTCCCAAAGGAGATCGGCATAATTTGCATTAGGGACGATCTGCATGATGCATGCCCTAGATCAACACCAATTAGTAAGCGGCATTCTGTCCAAATAAGTGAACGGAAACACAACATCGAAAATAGGGACCCGTGTAGAAAAAGCGGCCGAGCCGAGCGCCCAACCAATTCCACAAAAACATATATGTACCGTACGGGTCCTGGAACAAACATAAAAGAAAGCCTCTGCCTATAGCTGCCCCACAGATTACAATGATGTCGAGCTTTGGCCGCAGCTACAGAAGAATATCTCTTCAGGGTCACTAATCCTCCAGATTCTCCTTAGAGGATCGGCATTTCCGATTCCTACGCTCAGAAGAGAGATAAGAAGGAGAAAAGAGCGCAGCAGCCTCTCCCCTCCTTGTGGCTTTCAACACCTTGGCACTAGCCTCCGTTATCGAAGGTTTGAACAAGCTAGAAATCCCCCTGGAGGTACTCTGTTGTACAAAGATTTAGGTAGAAGAGTAGACGTACGAATGCTCATCATATATTAACCATCATGGCCCTAGAGCTTCCCCTCTCTTGACTTCCTCCGCTTCTCCGCTCCCCAACTCCCCACGATCCTCATCGCTGGCCGACCCCCTGCCTCGACCCTCTCATCCCCCAGCGCCCCCGCAAGACACTTCCACGGGTCCCGCGCGCCCCCCCAACTCAACACCTCCTCGCGAAACCTCTCCCCATTGCACCTCTCCAGACTGCCTCCCCCAAGACCCCCCATAAAGACTTTCTGCCAGATCCTCTCCGCGAGCACTCTGTCAAAAAGATAGCTATAGTACGAGGCGCCGTACCCGTAGAGATGTCCGAAGAAGCCTGCCCAGGATGTCTCCGGGGGGTCGGCTGGCATAACGCCGTGCTCGATTTGCAGCTGCCGGTACGCATGTGCGCTGTTCCAGGCCGGGTCAAGAGCGGCGGCCGAGTGGCACCGCTGATCAAGTAGGGAGAGGATGAGTTGATTCTCTGTGTCAACGGCCTCGAATTTCTGGTCGAGAGCTAGCTTCTCAGCTACCATTTCGTAGGGGAGTGGTTGATTAGTCTCGTAGTGGGATGCGAAGAGGGCGAGGACTGAGGGGTCGGAGGCAAAGTGCTCCATGAGAATTGATGGGAGTTCGGCGAAGTCGGTGGCGCAGCGGGTGCCGGATACTTCTTGAAAGTTGGTGCGGCCGAGAATGGAGTGGATGGCGTGGCCCATTTCATGGAAGAGGGTTGAGACCTCGTTGAACGAGAGGAGAGAGGGGATGCGGGAGTTGTTAGGGTTGGTTGCGAAGTTGCAGATTAGTGCTATGATTGGCAGTTGCATAACAGTGCCATCAGGGCTTCTGGCGATGGCCATGCCGTCGTTGGCGGCCTGATCTGCGGATGAGAAGAGTGAGTTGCCGACTGCTGCAGCTTCTTCGATTTCCTGTTCTCGGATCCGCCGAGAGCAGCGGATTGTGAAATGTGCTGGGTTCGGCGATTTGCCTGCTCTGGCAAAGAGGTCACAGTATAACACTGCAACATGGCCATCCGTCTCAGATATCACATCAAGGGTCCGGACGTCTGAGTTCCATGTCTCCCCCGATAGACTCTCTCGTGGAACGAATCTCACTCCGTACAGACGGGTAAAGAGTCTGGAGATTCCCTGCATGACTCTGCCAAGCGAAAAGTACGACGACAGGAAATCGGAGTTCTTGATTCTAGACGGCATAGAGGACAGGATACGTGCCATATAGAAATCCTTATCCCAGGGCTCGAGATGAGCATTGCTTTTACCCATGTGCGACTTCTTGACCTCGGATAGTTCATTCAGACATAACTGTACATGGGGCTGATTGTGTCCCGAGAATTCTTGAAGAAATGATCGTACGGCCTCGGGATTTTTGGCCATCTTGTCTTCTAAGGACATATGTCCATAGCTCTCAAACTTGGATAACTTCGCCAGCTCCGCTCTCTTTGTCAGAAGAGCATGGAGCTTCTCCAGAGTGGAACTTGAGGCTGTCCGGCTCGCCATGAATATCTGCCTCCTGATCTCTTCATTCTGAACTGTATGCAAGGCAGCGCTTGCAGTTTCGCCTATTGTTGGGAGTGTAGTCATCCCAAATTTCGTGTACTCTTTGACAAGGACAGGATCCATGCCTAGCAAAGCGGACGTATAGAAAGTATGCGACTGGTGCTCGGGCTGAATATGGTCGACGAAATCGAGTTCAACAATCTCCTGGGAAAGGGAAATGAACTTCTCTTTGTTTTTTTGCGGCATGTCGATAGCGGATTTTGCAAAATCCCTTTTCAGGATCATCGCCACCAGCCGTTCCTCTTCAGACCATGAAGAGCCGTGATGTTTCATAGCGATGTCCAACTGATGCGCAAGTCCCGAAGTGGTGTTCAAAACATTCATGAATTCGTACATCATCGCATACGCCTTCGTCGCAGCATAGTTTATCCTCGGATCCGGATGTGTTGCCTTAACGAAGTCCGCTAGATCGATAACTCGACATAACAAATCACTAAGTCTCTCCATATTCTTGACCACATACGCATATTCCTCCGCTGTCGAAGCTTCTAGTATCTTGGTGACCACTTTTTTTGCCTTCTTCAGACTTGCGTCTGCGAATGCTTCGAAGCCTTTGGGCGTGGTGAGATATCGATTTTGGAACAGTCCAACAGGCGATCCGGACCTTGAGGACTGGGAGAACTCTTTCCAGAACGGCGGCGAGTCGAATATCTTTCCCAGATTATGATCATCTTGCCGCGATCCAGGAGCCGTAACATCGAATGCTACTTGTCCAGGAGAGGGCTTGTAGTCCAGGGCAGCTGGGCTCTCTAGGGGCGCCGGGCCAGCGGCCTGCGCATGATTCTGCCGGATGATCGCAGGTAATCGTCGTCGAATACACCTCGAGCATATCCATGGTGTAGGAACCGCCCTCTTGTACATCCTGCGACGGCGGGATATATTTTGAAAGTTGGAGGTTGGAGAATATACAGGTTGACAGGTTGACAAGGTTGCTTGATAGCCTCGTGTGCAAGGCGACAAAAATACATATTTATGCAAGCACGGATGCACATTTATGCACCTTCTGTGCACAAAAAGCAACTAGAGCTTTATCGCCAGGAGCCGGCTTCAACAACCTCAATCGCAATTGACAGCCTTCATCGTCGCCAATTGCGCCATGGCTTCGAGAGTATTTCTGCAGCAGGTCGGAAAATGATCTCCTCAAATCCGAATGGGCTCTGCTAACACAAGCAGCGCATCGCGCCTGTGGCCACTGGCGCCGCCCTTGCTGGCCTGGCCCTCTTCCCCAAGACAGCTCTGCACGCAGAAGCTCCTGAGGAGACCCGCGTAAGCTTCACGAAGCATCACAGACGTTAGATTATACCTTCTGACGGAATATCAAGTCCCGGAAACCCATCTACGACGAGTACGAGACCCCGGCCGCGCCCGCGACGTCCCTACCCTCCTCCGAGAAGAGCTTCCCAGCTCCCGCGAAGACCGCATCACCCACTCCTACCGACCGGCTAGCAGTCCAAATCAGAAAGACGAGATTGTTCCTCTACAGCCATGTCCTGGCCGCAGAGACCAAGGTTAACCAGCTGATGGATTCAGCGCTCGACCTCGAGGACAGCTTTACCAGCACCGTAGCGTCCCTGGCACCCACACCGCAGTCCGGCGAGAAGCTCATGCCGGGAACTCTCTACGTTTTGGTGGCAGCCATGACCGGCAGCATTGTCTCGCGCAACCGGAACATCCTGCTTAGAGCCACGGTGCCCCTGGCTGTGGGGATCGGAGCCGGCTGGGTGGTTCTGCCAGTCACGATGAGGAATGTCTCGGACTTGCTGTGGAAGTATGAGCAGCGGTTCCCGGCTGTGGCAGATGGTCACATTCGGACGAGGGAGAGTATCGAGAAGGCGTGGAGGATGGCGCGGATCCATACTCAGCAGGCGGTTGATGTTGTGGACGAGAAGGTCACTTCTGGACGGGGAGCTGTGGAGGACTGGGTGAAGAAGGGGAAATGAATATTGGGTGAGCGAGGTTTGAAATATGCCTCTGTACAAAATAATAGATTTTCTTTGTTTGGTCCGTCTGATTTTGATCGGGGCTCTATCCGGCTGTCGGTATAATGGCTTCTACAATCATTGGCCTGCTGCAAGTGCACAGCGTTAGAAGTCCATCCGCCCTGACTGACTTCGCCCTTTTTTCTCTCTTCGTACTCTTATATCACGCAGTTCTAGCGACGGTTGTTGTTTTCCTTTCCTCTCCCACAGCATCCCCATCCGTCTCCTCGCCTCCCCATCCCATCTCCTTCGTCCTTAGCCTCATCTCGTCAACTGCCCGCCTCAAGCCACCCCATTCAACCACAACGCTCAACTCCACATCGACACAATGCGTGCTCAGAAACTCGAGGCACCTCATCCATCTATCCATCTGTCATCAGGCAAGCCAAGTCAAGCCGACCCGTCTCCTACAAATCTCCCACTCCCCCCTCGCGGCCTCTCCGCCGCCTCGCTTGTACAAGTATCCAGTTTCTAATATCAACCAACTGTCTGGCGGGAGGAAGAAGAGTTGGAAGGTGGGAAGGAGAAAAGGATGAGATGAGCTTGGTGCCTGTTATATTGAGCTGGAGCATATATATATATATTCACCCTTTCATTCAAACCACAGAGTCAAGATTCTATCAAGAGAATGTACTACCTACCTACCTACTTACTGCAAGGCCCGCTTAACTCCATTTTGACAAACATTATGCCCTACTAATAAATTAAAGATTTGAAGTTTGACTGTAACTATTGCGCAGGCTAGTTCTGAAGCCCCTGAGCCATCACAAATAAGCATCTTCTTCAGTCCTCGACCACAACATCAAGCCAGCAAGCTAGCCAGCCAGCTAGCCCACCTAGAAAACCCCCGGGCTGAAATCAACCACCTGCACCTTCTTAACCACGCCACTACCAAGACTCTTCACGAAAGCCAGATGCACCGGGTCCTCCTCGAGATAATACGTGCGATCGGCTGCACTGGCGAATTCTTCTACGAAGATGTACTCGATGTCTCCCTGTAAAAGGGAAAAAAAAGAACGACTTCTCTCAACAGCAATCCCCAAGATGTGGAGTACGAGAGAGAAAATGAGGGAGGAAGGGAGGAAGGGAGGGGAGGAGGAGGGCAACGTACAGTCAATCCCTCGGGACTATTCTGCTTCCCGCCCATACCCATCTTGACATAGGGCTTCTTCGTCGTCGGGTGCACGCAGCTGTCTTTCAGCGCTAGCATCCTCGTGTTCACCTAAGATGGATAGATAGATAGCGCGCGACGATCAGCTTTCTTTTTCTTCTTTCTTTCTCTTTCGACTTTCAAAAGGATTCTCTTTCGACTTTCAATCCACATCTATCTCCATATACATTTCCCTCATCATCCCATCCCATTCATGAATCCATCACAGCCACCCACTAACCACCAACTGAGTAATCATCTCCTCTTCCAAGAACCATGATGATGATGATGATGATAATCGATACCATTCGAAAGTACGGGAAATAGAGAAAGACGAAAACTCACATCCCGAATAACCTCCTCCTTCGTCCCTTCTTGGTACTGAAACATTACAATGTGCACGATGCTCCCCTCTCCGACGACCGACCCGCTTGCTGCTGCTGCTGAACTGGCCATCGTGGATGATGATTCTCTCGAACTGCTGCTGGGGAATGCGAGGAAGGTGATAGTGACGAGGAGAGTGAGAGCGACAAGGATGATGATGATGGAGGTTTGTTTCCACGATGAGGCGCGGTGCATTGTCCTGTTCATTGTGGTGTGGGAGTAGTACTCCGTAGAATACTCCGTAGGATGGGGGGAATCGTCGGCGTGTACGGAGTAAGGGTCGGATCGGCCCTGAGCTACTCCGTAGGTAGGCTTATGGTAGACATCACGGGGTTCTGCTGTAGTTTTCCCACTTTGCACAGACAGATGCTGGGAAAGGTTTTCATTCCGTTTTATTGGAATTTAAGAGGCTGTTATTTTTTGAATTAGAGCCATCAGCTACGCGATCTCGAGGCCTTCAAGTCGAATGAATGGATATATATATATATATATATGTATATACCCACCCGAGTCTAATCTTAGCGAGTCCATTTGTTTACCTTCCACTACTCCGCGACGACTAAAGGAAGAAAAGAAGAAAAAAAGAAAACGCTCGGCTCCCTCGCTTCCCGGCTCTTGTAATGCGCTTCGTATGTCCTGAGGATTCTCGCGTGTCAAGATATCATGGCTTTGCATCTCCGTATACGGAGTAGTATGTTATATCCGTCGTGACCCGAGGTAGTAAATGCAGCAAGAGATAAGGTGCCTAACCTTCCTCACGTTTTTCTCTTCTTCCTTTTTCGCCACACGGTAGACCCAACCGCTCCCGTCGCTCAAGCTTTCCTTGGTTATGCAAACGCATGCACGCCACATACCGGTACACACTGTGCTCGGCCAAGTCGAGGCTTATCGGGCGGCCAAGATGCGGGCGGCACGTACATAAATAAAGTAAAGTACCTAAGTAAAGTAGAGATTGGCAACCTGAATGAAGGATTCGGTTATTTTTTAATCAAAACCGTCTGACAGCTGTCGCCAACCAGCAGCTTATGTAGTATATGATATTGATACATCAAACCCGGTGCCCGCACGAGAATCTAGTTCTGAGTGTCGCTATCTGCTATCCATTTGGATTGCTTGATAGAGCCCAGGTCTTTCCCCCTAGGAAAACACTAACAAATGCGCCTTTCACGATCCAGCTCGGTAGTCCCGGCGCCCCATCCTCGCCAGTACTGGGTTTCGAGAGTATGCACACTTGACTTGTTGTCTACTTAGCGAGACCATCACGAAAGACAGGCCGCAGCTGGCCCCTTCTAGAATCCAAGACGGAGACGCGTTCTGGGAGCGATTAGCGACTGATCTGATCATCGTAGGGCAATCCACATCCACCACCTCCAGCCCGTCGCTTGTATCACTGTGACGATACTAGGGCCGAAGGCGTGATCGACATCGACCATGAACGCCCGATTTCTTCTTAATCAGTGGTTGGCTGGAAATCAGATGCGCGCTGCAGGATCGTTTTCAGCTCTGAGTTGGTGAAAGGGAAGGGGAGGAAGGGTAGTAGTACATATAGGCCTGTCCATCACCCTCGTCGGTCCCATCTTTGTTTGTGCTTCTTGCGTCTGCAAATCAGATACTTTTTTTTTTCTTCTTTTTTTTTTCTCGGGATTTGATCGTTGGAGGAATAACTTTGCCGTCAACAGGCTGAATATCACTTCGGCCACCATGACGACTTATCCTGTCGAGGAGAAGAAGACCCCGATCGAAGATAAGGGTTTCTTCAGCTCGGATTCGGACCACGAGACTGGCTCCGTTGACACGATTGCTGCGTTGGTTCAAGAAGGTAAGATCTGATGTATACATATACACATGTATACATGTGTACTTATGTATAGTAATAATATATATATATATATATATATATATATACATAATTACCTATATATATGTATATACATTTTTATACACACCCCCCCGTACTGCCCCAGGAGATCCCATCTGACGGCGCCAACAGACCACAGCCATGAGATCCAACTCCGCACAATGTCCTGGCAAAAGGCCGCCTGGCTCCTCGCCGGTGACCAAGTATGTCTTGCCATCATGGCCCAGACTTGGTCTCTCTCGGTCCTCGGCTGGGTCCCTGGGATTATCACCATGGTGGTCGCCGGCGCGCTCTTCTGGATCACGTCCATCACCATGCACAAGTTCATCATGAAGCATCCCCAGATCAGAGACATCTGCGACTTCGCCTACTACGCCTGTGGGAAGTCAAGCATCGCGTACGAGTTTGCCGGTTTCATGCTGCTCGCCAACAACATCATGCTGATCGGGTTCCACGTCCTGACCGGCGCCAAAATCCTGAACACGCTCTCCGATCACAGTCTTTGCACTGTTGTGTTTTCCATCGTCGTTACCATCATGGGTATCGTGTGCTCGGCTCCGCGAACCCTGAACCACGTCTCGTTCATGTCCATGTTCTCGGCAGCCTGCATGGGCATCGCCATCCTGCTCTTCCTGATCTTCGCCGGCATTGAAGATGCCCCCTTCTATGGCTACGGAGGCAACTACCCGACCCTGGGCGCGGTCAAGACCTACGCGCTCCCCCAAGCGGGCACCGACTGGGTCGCCTGCATGAACGCCGTCCTGAACATCACCTTCCTCTGGGTCCCGCAGATCCTGTTCCCGACCTTCATCTCCGAGATGGAGCGGCCGCAGGACTTCCCCAAGGCCCTCGCCGTGCTGGCCGGTATCTCGAGCGTCCTGTTCATCGTGCCGCCGGCCATCGGCTTCCACTACCTCGGCCAGTACTCGACCGCGCCGGCCTTCGGGTCCCTCGGCGTCGTCGCCTACAAGAAGGCCTCCTTCGCCTTCGTCATCGTGCCGACCATCGTCATCGGCGTCATCTACGCCAACGTCACGGGCAAGTTCATCTACTTCCGCATCCTGGGCCGCAGCCGGCACGCCCACAGCCACACCCTCACCGGCTGGGGCCTCTGGGCCGGCCTGATGGTCGCCATCTGGGCCATCGCCTTCGTCTTTGCCGAGGTCATCCCTTCCATGGGCGACTTCCTCTCCCTGCTCGGCGCCGCCTTCGACTCCTTCTTCGGCTTCATCTTCTTCGCCATCGCGTACGCGCAGCTCTACCGGGGCCGGTACTGGACGGGCCCGGGACGCAGCCTCATGACGGCCATCCACATCTTCGTCATGGCGTGCGGCCTGTTCTTGCTGGGCCCGGGCCTGTACGCGGCGGTCAAGGCCATCATTACTGACTATTCCGGCGCCACGAGCCCGGCGTTCAGTTGCGCCAATGTGGCTATCTAAGGGTTTTCTCGGTTGGATATTCGGGACGAACCTAGATTAGCAAATGAAATCATGTCTACGATACCCAGTCTCGTGCGCCAAACTCAACTCATCCGCCTTCGTATATACATACACACAGCGCCCCCCCCCCCCTCCCCCCTCCTCTCCACCGATACAATCATCTCAGCCCTTTCAACAGCATCCAATATGCTAACATAACATAACATCACTTAACTGCATTCAGACCCCCAATCCTCAAAAGATTCTAAACCAGTACCAAGCAGAAGCAGTGAAAGGTAAATCAAATTTATATTTATAATCCACAAGCGCATATGAAAAGCTCGCTCATTTGTATGATATAGAAACCTTTGGGGTTTTGTAGTGGATGGGAATGGTGGGAAGGAGTAGTGGGGGGGGAGGGGCGTTATTCAGCGAGCGATGAGGGAAGAGAAGAGGAGAGTAAAGAAAGTAATAATATAACATTAGTAACCTGAAACTTGAGAGAGGTTGGATGAGCGTCTTTCACTGATTGATTGATTGATCGATCGGTTGAGTGAATGTATTTGAGGAAGTAGAGGATGAAAGGAATGGGATGTGACGAGTCCGTGAATGGAAGGAGTGGAGAGGAGAGAGTAATTCTTGTCCGTCTCTCGGCTTGGGCTTTTGGAAGGAGGGGGGGGGGGGAGGAAGGGGGAAAGGGGGGAAGGGGGAAAGGGGTTGGTAGTCTTGATTGATTGAAGTGGAGTGGAGTGGAGTGGATGCTGTCTGGGGATCGAATCGAATCGATTGGGAGGTACTGTACGGCTTTGTCTTTTGCTGGGTGGGTAGGTTTTGCTTGGAGTGGTAGATCTGCTTTCTACGGCTGTAGCTAGCCGGCTATAAGATGCTCGTGGGCTCAGATGGTCTCCCGGATTTTGAACAATTTTAAACTCTTTGCTGCGTGGGAAAGGATTGAAGCCACAGGCAGCAGGAAGGATTGTGAAGTGTTTGGCTAATATTTTGCCGAGTTCTGTGAGAGTGCTTGCTTGTCATGATATGCGCCAAGAGAAAGTACTCAAACAGAATGAGGAGAATGCATGGCTGAATGAAACAAAATCCTGCGGAAGAGCAGCGAAATCTCTTCTCGAGTCTTCTCAAGAGGAGGCCGTCTGAAAATAGTGGGTTGATAATGATTGTGGCGGAGGGCATATGTTGTTTGTTGCCTGATTCGGCAAGATAAAGCGCGGGCTTAGCTGTTGTGTTTTGGGCGGTGCTTCTTTCATGTCATTGTTAGCATCTGCCTGACTGAGACTTTGTGAGATTCCACACGAATGTACAGAGAAAGAATAGCACTTCCGATCGAAGTCTGAAGCCAGCCCTTTTGTTCGTCCCGAGGAGAGACATCTTGTGGCATTCAACAGAGAGTCCTCGAAGACTCAGGCAAACAAGGGAGGTCTTACTTCGAAATCACTGCCTTATAGTCTCCGATTCTCTCCACGAAGAAGTGAGAGAGTCAAACCAACTACTTGAGCAAATTACTTAGCCCTGACTATCGATATTCGCCATATAACACCTATAGACTTCGACAACAAGAGCCACTAGAGCCGTATCTCCATAGCTCCCCCTTATCCAAACGGATCATCAGAGTGGAGGCCTGATCAGAGTGAACATGAATTCCCGTCGTCGAGAGAAGTTTGTCCTGCCCGGAGTACCGCCTGAGAAATACCAAGAGGCGACCTTCGGACTCCACGTCTACCAGCCCGGAGCTGGAAACGTCCGAATACACAACGCCTCTATCACCTCGTCGAGCTCAAACATCCACTCGCCCTTCTTTGGACCTCGGTTCGGAATCCCAAGGTCGCAACCCGTGTCCGCAACAGTCTTCCGTCTCGCGACCGGAGTTCGACATGATCACCATCCGCATTCTGAACATGGTAGACCGGGAATAGAACCGAGGCCCAGCCTCTCACTTGCACCGGTACACGCCTGTGATGTCTGCTTCGAGGACTTCTCGTCAGAGACTCAACCCCCAGAGTGGATCACTCGTGCATGTGTCCACAAGCCGACAATCTGCTCTCGTTGTCTGGCAGCCTACATCGAGAGTGAGCTGAACAGCAAGATCGCCGAACGGATCTACTGCCCCGAGTCGAACTGTGGGGCGGTCCTGGACCACGGAGACATCAAGAGGCTCGCTGCTGATGCGGAAACCTTCGCCAGGTATGTACATATATATATATACTAGATCGATAACTCCGAACTCTCTCTCTCTCTCTCTCTCGATCGTCTCGCTTAATTTGCAGCTGCATGTACGCTAACCCCGGGTCCTGCAGGTACGACACTCGGCTCCTCCGCCGCGCCCTGGGTGCCGACCGCAATGCCGTCTGGTGCCAGAACTGCGCGTCCGGCCAGATCCACGAGGGCGGGAGCACGCAGCCCATCGTGCGGTGCTCGAACTGCCACTTCCGATCCTGCTTCCGCCACGGCGTGCCCTGGCACGACCGCCTCACGTGCGAGGAGTACGACGCCATGCTGCTGAACCCGGAGGGCTTCCAGGCCGCCATCGACCGGGACGACGCGGCCTCCGCGGCCGAGATGAAGCGTCTCGAGGCGGAGGATCGCTTGGCGAAGGCGGCGGAGCGGCAGGCGAGGGAGGCCGAGATGGAGAGGCAGCGACAGGCGGCGGCGGCGACGCGGCGTGAGGATTTGAGGAGGAGGCTAGTGGAAGAGAAACTGTCCCTGGCCAAGATCAGCGCGACGACCAAGAACTGTCCCGGGTGCCAGGGGCCCATCGAGTTGATTCCTGGGGCATGCAAGCACATGATATGTAAGTTCGCCTTTTCCTCTCTCGTTTTTCTCACAATAATATCTCTCTTCTGGCAATCTCCCCTCGCCCTGTCAGCTCAAGTGATTGTTGACTTGCGCAGGTTCCAAATGTCGCCACCATTTCTGTTGGTTCTGCCTTAGCCCCAATGCGTGGCGTGGACCCATTTGCTGTCGCAGATATTAGCTCCCAGAAAGCCATGAGTGCGATAATGGATGTATCTCTGGTCTCGAGATGCAAGCTGACTTGAGTACTCTCTCCCAAGGCAAGGCTTGCCAGTACGAATTCTGCTGGTCATGTTTGTGCAGTCACAAGGCGGTCATGGAGAACGATAATTCGTGGCATGGTATCGACTGCCCCCTGCACTCGAATAACCTTCCCGGCATTTCCCGCCAACTTGCAAGAGACATTGGATAGAGCTGGATGATCTCCTTTGGTCGGGTTGAAGCGGACTGCTATCTTGGAATAGAACCAATAGAGCGTTACGTGTCCGAGAATTTATGTGCAATATTCTTTAGATTCAGACTCTCTTCATTCAATCCAGTACAAATTTGATGACATCCTGTTAGAATGATCGAAGATACCTTTTTTTTTTAAATAATCACAATCACAATGATTGTTAAGCTGCGTTTAGTAATTATTGCCCATCAGAATTGGGATAATCATGACCTTGATCACAGTCAAATAATGATAATCGAACGGAGTACAAATTGCTTTCAAGAACAAATCTGTTTGAGAAGACAATTTCCAATTCTTATTATTGTGATATCTGAGGCTATGCTGAAGTCTAGTGGTATATTTGTTGATGCGAGCTGCAAATAACCGAAGCCCAGGCCTTGATTACGATTCAGAGCCTCTAAATCACCTATTACCGGATTACCAGAAAGACACGGTCTTATTATTAAGAATCGTAGAATTCAGTTAGGAAACTACGACTCGCACGACTCGATCACAATTCAGAGCCTCTGATCAAGGGAAAAACAAGTTACCCAAACGCGCCCTCCGCTATCTATCCCTGACCAAACGCAACACTACTTTGACTGCTTCTCAATGAAATCGCTGAGCCAATATAACAAAGTTGGACTCTCCCAGGGCCGACGTTTAAGAACGTCATGCAAAACTTTGCGTTTCCTCGTCGCAGCCGTAGTCACCAGAAGCTTGGGCTTCCTCAATACCCGCGGCTCTACGAAAACCTCTTCCCTCGCCGCCCTCACGACCAAGGCGGGACTGACATTGAGCAAGAAATCCAATTCCGCTTCGGGCATGGATTTCAGGACTTGGCCGTCTGCGGCCGCATTGGCGAGGATCAGATTGGGGAGCCCATTGTCCCAGCCCGAGCGGGTGTCCAAGGCGAGTTCCTCGGGTGAGGCCCATTCTAGAGCAAGCTTGTCAATCGACAGACACATCTTGTGGCCGAGGGACACCGAAGGCCGAATAATGGAGTTACGGAGCGAGATGTAGAGCTCTTTCTTGCTTGTTCTCTGCGGGAGAAACATGTGCAGCACTTGGGAGAGGTGGATGGCTAGGTCGTCGACGCGCCGGTCTTGCAAGGTCGGAAACTCGGCCTCGTTCGCCAGAGCGGCGAGAGCCTCGGTGTACCAGGTCCGACAAGTCACCTCCCCTGCGGAACGATGAGCGTGGCCCGGAAAGCGGGGGGGGGGGGGATATATATGGTTGTACTCACCTCTCTGCGGCTGCATGTTGCGCATGCTTTTCCCAACGGCGTTGATCAGTTCAATGATCCTGTAATCGACGGCGCCACACAAGGCCTTGTTGAAGACTTCCTGGTGGAGAAACGTCATGATGGCTGCGATGATGTTGTACTCGTCGGTGCCAGCGTGCACGAAAGCCTTCTTCCCGTCATTCGATATGAAAGACAGGAGGAGCTTTGCTGCGTCCGGAGAAAGCGTATCTCTGTTTTCGTACAGAGTATTGTCTTCGAGTGCCTCCCCCAGCCTGGTCGCAACCCACCCCTCTACTGCTTCGCAGATGAACTCGTACTCCTTCGTGACTGCTGTCTCGGTGATACCTACTTGCTTCGGGCGCCGACTGAGAATGGCATTCTTGAGTGTAACGGCCTGAGCTCGGAGTAGTTCGCACTCTTTTCGTAGGGCGGCATGGTTTTCATCCTCTGCATTGACTGCAGCAGTCTCTGATTCGACTCCCGATGATACGATAGAGTCTGCATGGATAGATTCAAGAGCCTGGGCTCTTAGTGGTTCGCACTCTTCTCGTAGAGCGGCATGGTTTTGATCCTCTGTATTGACTGCAGCAGTCTCTGATTCGACTTCCAACTCTACGATAGAGTCTGCACGGATACATTCAAGAGCCTGGGCTCTTAGTAGTTCGCACTCTTCTCGTAGAGCGGCATGGTTTTGATCCTCTGTATTGGCTGCAGCAGTCTCTGATTCGACTTCCGAAGATACGATAGAGTCTGCACGGATAGATTCATCATTGGGATCTGGCACTGGAGCAGCAACTTCAGCGTCAAGGTTAACTGACTCGGTGCTGAAAGGACTGCTTAGGTGTCAATATTGTGTACTTGAGGTAAGAGATTCAATACTGACACTGGCTTCTTGTGACCCCTTTTTGCTTTCATGGCATCTTGAGCAGCGACAGCTCTAGTTTTATACTTTTGAGCTCTTCTGCTGATTCTTTTATGAAACGATGAATCTTCACTGGGTGATTGGTTCCGAGCTGGTTTCTTCTGGCAGCAAGATTTGAACTTGCCATTGATGTTCATCGTCCCCATTACAGAGGCCAGATTAGTAATGACCTTCATTCAGCGTAAGCCTATACTTGCTATGACAGCGAGGATATCGGGGCTTAACGTACTGGCCCATCGTCATCGTCCAAGGCTGTTTTCTTGCTGCTCCCACACATTCTCATGATGGCGATCAAGCTTCTATCTGTAAAGTTTTTTGGCGCAAATAAATTTCGAAGCTTGATTTGCAACGTCGGTCGAAATATTAAAATTTTCGAGGCGCGGGGATAAGGAAAGTAGTACTGCGTCGAAAGCGGCAACGAAATCTTCTCCATCATTGTCATATCAGAGACATTATCCTGCGGATATTACGGGCGTCAAATAGGCAGATGCTCTGTCTTTTTCTTTGATACGAAGATCCCAGAACACACCAAACTTTGCACCGGGGCCTGCTTTACTTGCCCCAACTCAAGCAGCGCCAAGGATATCACTTCTTTATCTGATCCCATTCAAACTCCTTTGAAATATGTTCTTTAGGTTTCTAAAAATGCTGATTAAAAGCCCCAGTTTCCTTCTCGAAGAGTTTGAGTAGGATGCGGTTTCAAGGAACCAAGTGAGTACTGGGATGATCGAGAAGAAGTCTGATTTTGAGTATGAACTTTCAAAGGAGAAAGCAAGACGGTATCAAACGCAACAAAGCCGGTTTGAAGTTCAGCGAGACAACAAACTCAGTTTTTCTGATTCTTCTATAGCGCGCCTAAGACACAAACACCTAAAGACTCTGTATCAGATCTTTCTTTGTAAGGTCTCGGTGGCGGGGGCAGGTTCCTTCCTGACCGCGTCTGATAAATAGGCATGAGGATGGACGGCAAAAGATCAGATCTCGGCTCTGATTACTCGATCACAGAAAAAAACAATGTCGCTCGCAATTGAATCACTCAATCTGAATGAGAGAGAGGATAAACTCGTTGTCGGAATCGACTTCGGTACAACTTACTCGGGAATTGCGTGGGCCACAGCAAGACATGTGAGTATTTCTGCTTACAAACAATGATAAAATAATCTAACTATGAGAAATAGGGCAGCGATATCATTCTTATCAACGAATGGCCATCACACAATCCAGTATCGAATGGGAATGATAAAGTGGCCACCGAAATCCGCTATACATCAGAAGGTATCGAGTGGGGCTATCAAATCCCGCCCACTGTAGAGAGGCACCAGTGGTTCAAACTGTATGAGTTCCTCTCATCTGCTTAGCAGCTCCCCCTTTGCTTAAAACTGAATATGATCAAAACAGAGAAATCGGCAGCCGTCAACTAGCGGGCTTAGGCCAACCGAAGACGGCGAACGAGCTAGCCAGCGACTACATGAGAGAGCTCTACGGTCATCTCATGTGCATGCTGGCGCGCACATTTGGAGCAAATGTCCTCTCAACATTGACGCTGGATTTCTGTTTGACAGTCCCTGCTATCTGGCGCGAAGCCGAAAAAGAAGCCACTCTTCAAGCGTTCCGGAGCTCGGGGGTAGGAAGGGATGCCAAGGTGTTGCTGGCCTCGGAGCCCGTAAGTGCTGCTACACTCTGAACGACAGAGACATATTACTTACGATGTTACAGGAAGCTGCGGCCATTTATACTTTGAAGGAACTCAATCGTCATGATCTCAAGGTGGGAGACACGTTTGTGCTGTGCGATGCTGGTGGAGGAACGGTCGATTTGATCTCGTACACCATTACCGCCCTCCAGCCTGAACTCATGATCAAAGAGGCCACTGCCGGGACGGGAGGCCGGTACGGCTCCACGTTCTTGAATCGGCGATTCGCGGAGATGGTCGTCCAGAACCTCGGAAATGCACCGGGCTGGAACGAAGACATTCTAGCGACTATGACGGACCGCTTTGAAACATTGGTAGGCCAGCCCAAAATCAGATGTCGCATCTCGCATCTCGTGGAACCCACCCCCCCCCCCGCCCTTTTTTTTTTCTCTTTCTAAGTATTTATTCAGGTCAAGCGGATATACGCTCCAAGGACAGAACCCTATTATACCTTTGTGGCGCCAGGCCTGGGCAGAAACCCGGCCATAGGCATTCGGCAACAGGGAAGGTATACCGTCACATCCGCCGAGCTGGAGACGAAAGTGTTTGCGCCGATCGTCACTGAAGTCGTCAAGCTGGTGGATAATCAGATCCAAGAGGCTGGAATCGAAGTCAAGGCCGTGCTCCTCGTCGGAGGTTTCGGGCAGAACGATTATCTCAGGGAGAGCCTACGGTCCAACATCGGTAGAGTTGCAGTTCTACGGCCGGATAATGGATGGACTGCCGTTGTTCGCGGTGCCGTGATGATGGGGCTGAGTGGTGCAGACGCGGCGCTCACTTCCGTTGGGATCGAGTCGAGAGTTGCGAGGAAACACTACGGGTTTGAGCTGAACACCCCTTTCCAGGCAGGAAAACATATGGAATCTAAGAGGTATATCCGTGCTACTCTGTGCAACAATAGAAAAGAGGTTTGCTAATGGCAGTAGATATTGGTGCAGCATATGGCGCCAATATAGGACGAAATGTATGAAGTGGTTTATACGCAAAGGCGACGAAGTAGAAGAGAATGATCCGAGATCATTCTCGTTCGTCTGCGACTACTTGGTGGCAAATGGGATACCGACTGGTTTCACCATGGACGTGGATCACGACCAGGAGACCGAATATGCGCCCGTACATCGCGTCGATACTGTTCGCAGTCTCCTCACTCTGAGAGGGAATCTCAGACAGCTGCCGATATCTGAATGGGAGTCGATGATAGTCATCCGGCCGGATGGAAAGGAATATTACTGCTTGCGATGTGCGATCGAGGTCACCTTTTACTCCGCCAACACTAAGTATGTCCTCCTCAGCCAGGGGAAGCGGTACGACGCTGTGACTGCGGAATATGTCTGAAGACCCGGTGTCGGACGACTCCAGGGCTTCGTAGAGATTAGATGGTAGAAAACTTGGGCTAGGAAATATAGTTTGCGATTTCATTGGATATTCCGGGACATAAATTGAATCAACTAAATGCCCATAGCTAGACGACGAGAGGATCCAAAAACACAAAAAAAAACATCAATGTCTTTTCAAAAACACTTGGCAATCATACAAATAGCTCAATACAGGAAGCAGGGATATTCCTGAAAATGATTCAAGAAGTAAATCCTCATATAACACGACCCAAGATTGAAAAGCCGGAAGCACGCTAGAAACATGCATCCTAAACCTATTTTTTTTTTCGCAGTTCGGCTATATTAGCGCGTCCGGGACCCTTCCAAATTTGGTTGCCGCAGGCACTTCCTCCACGAACCCATACCACAACTTCAGCACCACGAACCCAATCGTAATATATATCATAATACTCATGAATAATAAATAATTTATATTACTTCATATTCTTACTTATATAGAGTTCTGTTGTGCGGAACTGGCATGCCTTAGGTTCCACCCAAGCTACAGCTCAGGTGACCTCGAGCTACGGATCAGGTGACCTCGTCTAGTAGCGCCCTTGGCGTACTGGAGCTCTTAGGTACACGTTTATTTATCTTGACGAGCTTCCCAGATAGAATATACCAAGCTTCATTCAATCTGCAGAATCCCCTCCTGATCCTAGAGCTGATCAGCACTATAAGTTCTGATGTGCAAAAGCAGACCTGCAATGCACATTGCAGTAACCAGTAATATAACCCTATACCGCACGAAAAGTTCCTTAATCCATCCGTCGTATTTAGAAAATAAGGGCTGTTTATAAGCAGAGCATCCGCCAATCACTGGTGCATGGCCTGTACTTTTCACAGATCTCCCAGTCCTACCACTGCAAGATGTAGACGTCCTTTTATTTCGACCCAAGATTTTCGTAGATGTAGGTATGATTTACTTTGATGTTTGGACACATGACCGTGGTACACTTTGCCGCGGTAGCTTCGCCTTTTTTCTACGTATTACACTTTTTTCGACGTATGACAACTCCAGCTACTAATCTCGATCTACTTTCTTCACTTGATCTTGCACCTCGAAAGATTCCTAGGAGTGGTAGGTGGTAGATCAAAACTTTACAAGCCTATTTCGTGAAAGTAGAAAGAGAGAAATAAAGAAGAAACTTTTGCGATAACTGGATTTTATCTGCGAAATTTAGCTACCTAGTATATATGCTATCGCATCCCATACCCACCCCAAGAATGGTGTCTCTAGTGTGGTATATATATATATATATATATTCCAGCTACCAAAGAGGCCATTCGCTTTCATCCGCCCAGCCTAGCCAGCCGCACCAGGGGAGTGATCCTTATCTTCTTGGTACGAGGGCAGTTCACCCCCTCGAGATGTCTCTAGCTGGTTTCCTCTGCGCCTGTACTCTTCCAAAAACGGACATACACTTGTAGGCATCGTACTGCGCGTAATTGGCATAGCCAGGATCAGATAGATGTCTGCTGCACGAATTCTTCCAAGAATGAGGCTATGGTTCAGAGTCGGCGTATCGCAGTGAGCGGCAGCCCGTGGACGGCCAATCTTCTTACTAGTGTTAAGAGTCTTGAGATTGCTCTCTTCCGACCAGCGCTTTCCGTTGATGTCAAAATCCCGTGTTTCTGGTTTGGGTATTGATCCCTGTCGTACTGTTGTATATATTCTGCAGTGCTTGGTATTCCCATTCGCGAGAACCATCCTCCCAACCGGTACAGCTTTCGGGTTGTATGTAGTCGAATACTAAAGGGCGGCCGGAGTCTTCAACGGTAAGGGGGACACCCGGTGGCTTGTGGATGGTTTATTAGGGGAACGTTTCGGTCGAGGTGAAGCTCGTCGAGAGGTCGATGATCAAGAGATTGACATCTAGAAGTCCAGGGTCAGCATCAAGGCTATTTATCCAAAGACCAGATCGTAGACGCGCTGCGATTTACAGAGGGCGCTTGACTCTGGATAATGACTCAGGAGACTGAACTGACAGACGAGGCTGTAGTATCAGAAGCATGCCTTTTCACTAAATCGCTTGCATGGACTATGGTTCCATTCGTTGATATAGCGATGACAAGGAAAAATAAGGCCCAAGAATAATCAGACCTCGAACGAGGCCTCGGCAGCTGGGCATGATCGATCCAAATGTCATTTTTACATATTGAATACTTTTTCTCAAGGCTGAGAGGCCTTCAGAATTGCAGGCCTATTTACACAAATGGAAGGGTAGAAATCAGCCACTGCTTCCAGAACACCGAAAGGTGCATCCCAAGGCTCCAGGGACGGGCGGTATCTAGGTGTCATATGCGACCCGGATATGCAAAGTAAATTTATGTACATATTAATGGGATGAATATACAGATTTTCTTAATATTGTGGCGAATCATGGTGTGCAGGCCGTAAACGAGACGTGTTGTTTTTATTAAGCGAGCTTACCCACTTAATTTTTCAGCTTCGGTCTGGTATCGGAGATTCCCATATGGTGCTGTTTCCACGTAAATTAAAATAACAAAAAATTTGGTGACGTGTTTCATTCAGTTATTTCAAGGACACAACAATTTTTTTATATGGCTGTTAGCTGCTAGACCTGCTAGTAGAAGGACTGAATAAGCTCTAGCAAGAGAAGTGTTTTTACTTACCGCTGCGTCAGAAGCATAGCGTTAGTCATCTATCCTAAAGTATTGTTTTCAGCTTTCTATCGATGCCTGCCTTATGGAAGCTACTAGAAATTCTTGCTGAATTTCCCTGGTCGCAGTCATGCCGGAGTTGTGCCGCCAAGTAAACAAACAAGTTGTTTTTTATATCACAAGACTGTGCGCGTTGTTTGTCATCGGCACGCGCGTTATTATCGTAGATACAAAAGATTCTTTAATTTCTATATGATTTGATATTCTACGTCGCATAGCGTGCAAGCCGAAGTAGAATAGTCTGGAATTGACGATTGCGTTTAACTTTGCAAAGACATTTAAAATCTGTTTGATACTCACAAGCCTATCTAGCAGTCATAAATGTTGCAGATCGAGTGAATATAATGCCCTATACAACAGCTGAAATCATAGTCGTAAAGGTGACTTTAGATTTATGATTACGTTATTATCTAAAGTAAATAATTCAATAATCAGACTGCCGAAGTCTTTAATATTGCACTATCTTTTAGATACAAATTGCGTATCTCTTGATTAGGAACTTATCCAAAGCAGAGAATTCTATGGATGGGCGCAAATCTATGTCCATTAAGTTGAGGATAGATAGTATCATCCTTAATCAATCGTAGAATGAATTTTCACCTAGTCGCCTAGTGAACGGAATCAAGTCACATCTCCGGGAATCGGTCTATATAAACCCCACCTCAAGCACAATTCCTCACCTTCAACCTCCGACCTCCAACCAACCTCCAACCTCCAACCTCCAACCTCCAACCTCCAACCTCCAACCTCCAACCTCTCACCTCCGACGTCGAGCATCCAACCTCCGACGTCGAGCATCCAACTTCCAACAAGATCGGAAAAGCTTGACGACAATTCCTCTTCCCTACGAACCATACCATACAACCATCTGTGAATAAAAAGTCACTCCTCCCTACAAAAAGTCATAAACCCTCTCACCTTCAAGGTCTTCCCTGCCTCTTCCTCACCATGCCCGGTGAGAGATGGCGCAAGGACGAGCTCGAGGCTCTCCAATGGCTGTTGAACCGAAAGGAGCAGCTACGCTCTGAGTGTCGCAGTCGCGGCGAGATATGGGACCCAGAGAGCTGGAGCTGGGAGGCTATTGCAAATAAGATGACTCGAACTGCGAGAAGAGATGAATGGCCGGAGCTGCGAAAATACACTGGCAAGGTTTGTTACACTGCTTACCGCAAGAGACAGTCCCTCCTCGCCGCCATTGCTCCTGTGCATCAAGAGTATCCTGCTCCCCTCCCGGCCGCCTCTCCATCCTCAGGTCCAACCTCACCCTCGCCCTCGCTTCCGGGACTCGGCGACATGCAAACACCTGTCAACAATGCCTCTGCCTCTTCGGGTTCTGGGGCCCGTGATAATCTTGATCGTCAACAAGCCATCCAACATGGTTATCCAGGTCCATCTCAGCCATCTCGCCTCCCATCAGCCATCCCTGCCCCACTCCCGCCAGTCACTGTCCCGCAGAGAAAATTCCACAATCCGTATGGTTTTGTCACTCAATACACTGCTCCTCAACAACCAGCTCCTGTTACCACGAACTCTGTCTCAGTACAGTACGTCGATGATGTCGGCTCTCGAGTTCCTGCGACGGGAGGTCGCTCTGCGCGCCACCCACTGCCAAGTCATTCTGGAAGATCAGCTTCATCTATGGGACCACACAATGCTCAAGCAGCTTCGACTCCACAACGTCGTCAGCAGATGAACTTCGCCGCACCCGCTGCCGTTCCGCACCATAGATCTCAATCACGGCACTCAATGCAAATGTCCGGACCAGCCGTTCCTGCAGCCTTTGGATCCGCCGCTGGTCAAGCTCAAGGTAGCACGCAGCAACACCAGTCCAACCAAAACGGCTCTAACAATGTCAACCACCATATCCCTCCCGAGCCTCCTTACCATTGGACCCCCATGGAGAGAGATGCCCTGAAGGATCTTTACTTGTACAGCGGCATTGGTCTCCCTTCCAACTTCGTCCACGATCGCCGCAAAGGCACGTGGACCTGGAGAATGGTCGCCGAGGAGATGAATCGTCGGGCTGTGGGTGCTTCGTGGAACGTCGGCCGAATCTACAATGATGGCTCATGCCACCAGATGGGAAAGTGAGTACCCCCCGCTTTTCAAATGCGAGATATTCTCAATGCTAATGTGTGAACGTGAACTTCAGGTACAACAAGGCTGATTGGGACGCATGCTACAGGGAGCGACCTCCCGGCGCGACCGTTCAACCCCTCGACGAAGATGACTTCGAGTGAAGAGGTGTATAAGCATCGACACAGGTGTGGAGGATGGATACTTGGGTTTGGCCGCGGCCGGGTATCTTGGGCAGTGCTTGCGATTTGAGAGATGTCATTTTGACACTCGCGTATAATAATGCGGACAACTTGCGTTGAGCTTCAAAACATAAATAGAAAATGCATGATTGTCAACCAAGAAGTCTGATAGATTAGAATTGGCATTATCGTAATTAAGAGTTCGTAACGGGAAATTTGACTCTGCTCGGAGCTCTTATATGAAATCACTGATATGGATTTTGCAGCTAGCGGCGCGTAACTACCTACTTACGAATATACTCACGCAAATCCATACAAAGAGATACTATGTGTCTGCAGGTAAGAGCCGTAGTAAAGGGTAACAATTATCAAGCTTGATGAATCACAAAGGTTAATCAGAAACCTTTGTCCTACAAAGGGCTATCTAACGGAAACCACAGTTCTCACTTGCAGGCCTGCTTTTGCGTAACAACCTATAAGCAATCCGTGAACCATGATTCGTTCTTCCCAACTAGTATTATATCGATGCATATTACTATTGTCCATGATTTGTTTCTAGTCTGTCTACCCGCAGGAACCACATCTACTTTGAGAACAACCGCACCCTTCGTCTTCAACCACTTTTCATTTCAAGACAAAATTTTAAATCCACATCGCATCACTTCACATCACACCTACTATACCAAAGCTAAACTCTTAAGAGGATAATCAGGCTCTTAACTAGGCAGATCTACACCGACAGCCTACGAAAAAATGAAACTCTTTAAGCAATCTACCAAACCAGCTGGACCAATGCAAAAGCCTGGAGACGCGTAATAGCACAGCATAAAGAAGGTCTTGTCTAGCGCTAGACCTGCCACACAAAGGCATGCAGGAAGTAGCTTCAACTTTTAAATTTCTTTCATCCTGTTAACGTCGAGTGAAAAATGGATTGTGCGATTTTTAATTGAAATGTGTATATGTGCAGACCGTACGACAACATCGGAGTTTATATTGGAGTTCAGGTGATAGGACAGAGCGCCAGTAGGTATTTACATTTTATATCTGCAAATGAATTCCGCGACGCCGAGAACTCTGATAAACACGTCTTTGTCTCTACTCACAATGAAATACACTGACGAGTCGATTCCATATCTGATTCTACGACTCAAGCCTTTCCCACCCCGTCCATCTTGCCCTAGTAATCCACACCCACCAGCCAGCACAAGTACACGCACACCAGATCTCCGATCCTTCCTTCTCAGCACATGATACCACCCTACCGAACATAAACCATCCAGTTTCCCGCATCATTTCCCTTCCCCCTTTCCTCTCATTTTTTTTTATATTATATCATCTCAAAACTACTAAAGCCATATACAACAAGCCTCACTCCAGGCATCTTCGCAGCGCAGAGCCAGAGCCACAGCCAAAGCCGAGCCAGGAGTCTGGGCTCCCAAGTACCGATTCCAACACACAGCCAGCGCTGATACATTTAAATATTAGTATAAAAGGAAATCAGAGACTAAGTCTTTCTTTATCTTGCTCCGAGCGAGTCAGGTTGAACGTCTGCAGCGGCTATGGTACATTACTAACAAGTGAAGAAGAGAAGGGACGCTGCCAAAACGACTGATACAGCGATAATCTCGACCGTGTTTTGGCAATCCATGGAGAGTAGGTGCAGAGAGAGGTGCTGTATGGAGGATATATATATATTTGCATTCATACCCTAGATATTCCATCGCTGGACTTTTGTAGATCCCGGTATATATGCTAGAGGGCTGTCATGGGATACATAACCTGCACTATGGTCGAGGTAGACACTCACTCGTTTGTAAACGTCACTCACTCAGTATATAATTCGGGGTTCATTAATCGGGTTACGTCGACAATTCGTATTTAGAGGGGGTAATTGGCATAGAAAGCTTCGTTTTACTGCACCGTCGAGTCAAGTCGAACTCAACAAATTTCTACGCCTAGCGCACAAAGAGTCGTGAGGAGTCATGAGGAGAGCTTGAGGGAAAGCGACTCTGACTACTAAACCTGAGTAGATTGGGAGTGTTTACTTCTCGCTTAGAGCTTGGCGCGACCTTGCCAAGGCCTTGCGCTACTGGGCTGAAAACAAAATCTGGGGTACGATATTGGACAAGTAGGGAAGAAATCCAATCAATGCATCCATTCGTTGAAAAATGATTCTCTTTGTCAAAATAAACGCTCATTGTGTCCGCCCTGCATTACAGCCTCGAGCGAATCCATCGTTGCCCTATACCGCCAGCACGTGGTGTAGGTAGCCAATCATGAAAAAACCCAACCCGCCACGCAACGCCGAGAAATGCTTCAAAATCACGCACGCATTTTATTCCACCCTGGGTATCGGAATCCAGCCTAATCCGTAAAGTCAAACTCCTTAAATGCAGCCTTAAACGCATTGATATCCTTCGTCTCTTCCTCGACCGTCTGCTCGCAATCCCGCCATTGAATGCGCTTCTCAAGTCCCAGCAGCTTCGCCAAGACGGTGCGACCAAATTGGATATTGAAGCGAAGAGAATTATCGAAGGGGAGGGTTAAGCATTTGGTGCTGCCTTGCGGCTCGGCTTCGCTTGGAGGAGACCAGATCCAGGCTCGAAAAAAGTCGTTGTCGTTCTTGCCGATGCCTGGATCACGGGTCTCAAATGCTGGGTACTTGAGGTTCTCGGCTTCGACGCGGAATGCAGCTTCGACGAGTCCTTTGCGGATTGTGTCCTCGGAAATGGGAATGAACTGCCAGTGGGTGTGGATACCGCTGGCTCTGCTGATTTCGTATGTGACGGCGCCCAGCTTATTCTTGCTGTCTTTTGCAACCATATTCTGCAATGCTTCTTTGAAACGGGTCATTTCTGCGTAAGTCTTCTCCTGGGATTTGTCTTCATCGGGGATCAATGCGATGGTAGGAGAGTGCGAAAGGGGGATGATGAGAGCATGTCCAGGGTAATTGATGCCGTGCTCGGCGTTTGTGATGGCTGTGGTGAGAGGGCCTTTGGCAATTGTGACGTATGCATCTTCGCCAAGGGTAGAAATGAGGTGTGTGGCGAGTTGTGGGTTAGAAAGACAGAAGAAACATTGACCTGGGCCTGGTGGAGGCTGTCTCGGGCCTCGGTGACGCTTGTTGCGGTACCCATTATCGTGACCACCAAAGCGAGAGTATGGATCGGTGTCGAGAGCGTGTCTCTTCTTTGGTCTCGATTGGAATGGCGATGCAGTGGTGCCTACAGGCAATACAGCGTTAGGCTCGGTAGTTTTCTGGAGAGAGAATGCATAGAGAGATTTCTGCTTCTTAGCATTGCCGTGAGCTGCCAGAGAGATGAAACGGGTTATTGGCTTGACGTCTGGGTTTTCGGCAGTGGGAGGGAAGAAGAAAGGTTCTCGTTCGTAGAAGAAGGTTGGGGTGGTAGAGAAGTGGTAGCGAGGCTTGAGAGCGGCGCATAGATCCGAGATATGTTCTAGGCCAGCAGGTGGAAGAACGTCACCAGGAGGTACGACAACCTTGGAGCCAATTCTCACGGCAGCTGGCCAGCATGTTGTCAGGAGGATATCTGCGGAGTTGGCGCCGTGAAGAGCCTTAGCATCTCCCACAGTATGGAAGGGCAAGTAGCTCTCTTTTGAAAGGCCTCCGACCACCGTCTCATCTAAATAGCCTCCTAGTACGACGATTCTGAGCCCCTCTGATGTATTCGTTGTACTTCGCTTTCCGAGATAATGTAGATTTGGGCAGATCTATTTTACCAATTAGCCTATTAAAGAAATGTAGTCTTGTCTGCTTTGTGTGTACCTCCTCATCTTTCTCAATCTTGTTTATGATTCTCTGCGGCAGAGGGGTGGTTCCGACCGTGAAGTATGTTGGAAGTGGAATTTGGATGGTGCCGTCGAGCAGCTCACTAACGGTATCGTCGTCGTCCTCGGCGAACAGGTTACCGGCCACGATTGCAAAGGTGAAGCTATTCTTAGCATGTAGGGTCGAGACCTTCGTGAATACCCCCTTCAATAAGCCGTTAATGTCCCCGAGGACAATACTGGAAGCGCGTCAGCGGAGACAGTAAAGGAAATTGAAAGCTTGGGGACAAGCAAAGGGTCTGCTCGTTGGGTCTATCAGGTACTGGGGATCTATACATACATCTTGGAGGCCATGGTGTTGACAATAGAGAGAGAAGAAAGTTGAGTTTGAGGTTGCGACGCGACCTCGACCCGTCGACGTTCTTTTTCAATATGACGGGCCGGGCTTATCGGGGATCTCCAACGTTATCTTAGCGTTACGCTAGTCTAGTGGGGTAAGCAAAACAATTAATATCAGGTTTGTTCCCAGACGAATTGAACTGTTTGGAATAAGAAGAATATTCTTAGATCTAAATGTACATCACTGTGAATATTGTATTTCAACATGCCCAGAGTACATTTCTTTGAATTAGAATAATTGTATTGTTGTGTTCACCTGGATCTTCCCAGACCAAAAACCATCAGCGCTACGCTTATCCTAGAGCGGACGTTCTGCCGACTCATACCGAGAAAATTATTTGATTTGAGAGGGCCAGCCAAATCAACGCCTCACGATATGAGAATATCCTCCGAGCATTCTCCTACAACCACAAATACTTCGCACCGGTGAGCTTCACCACCGCCAGGATGCCGGTCAATACTTCAGGAAGAATCGTCAAGACCCGCAAACGCAAAAAGGGCACCGATCACCAGAAGAACCACCGATGGGAGTCCTTCACTACGAAAATCTCAAAATTGAACTCCCTCGACCCAATCCGCAGAGTGCGCCGACTGGATATCGATACTGAAGATGTCTCCGCAACCACATCATATCTGGGGACTGGCTTGGAAAAATGGGCAGAACTGAACATGTCGGAGGGCTTCATCATGTTTTCGCGTGAGGTCTCGGAGATGTGCGAGAGTCTGCCCCAGATTCTATATTCAGAAGAGAAGATCATGGCATTATTCGTCACATACATCGAAAGGAAGGAGAGAGAATCTTTAGAGCCGCTGCTGGAGCTTTTGACTGATTTTGCGCACGATTTGGGAGTGCGGTTTGAGAAGCATTATGCGAAGGCACTCGAACTCATCACATCTATAGCCGGCTTGCTACAGGACGTTGCGGTTATCGAGTGGAGTTTTACAAGTCTGGCGTTCATGTTCAAATACCTCTCCAAGCTTCTTGTGCCAGATTTGCGACCTACCTACGATTTGATGGCTCCTCTCCTGGGAAAGCATCGCCAAAAGCCACACATCGCACGTTTCGCGGCCGAGGCTATGAGCTTTCTCATAAAGAAGGCAGGCGCTCCAGCCCATAGGTCGACTGCACTGCCTCTGATTGTCAAGTATGCGAAGGATGATCTTCAGAGTATTCGAGGGACCAAGGAATTTGGCCTATACTACCACGGGCTGATGACATTGTTCGCAGAGGCGATGAAGGGGAACGGCCTGAGTACACACACATCAGGACCTGCTATCTTTAAGAGTCTCTTCCTGGCCTTGGACGATTCGGATTTGGAGACCAAAGAAAGCTCTGCGTGGAGGAATGTCATTTGTGGAGTTCTCACTAGCATGGTCCATCACAGCAGCTCGGATACTTTTCTGGAAGTCCTAAACGTTGTTCTTGAGACGGTCGATGGTGCAGTTGAGAAATTCGCCGGAGCAGCAAACAAGGGTAATCTGCAACTGCTCCTTCTGGCGGCGCGGACGTTGGCGGTCTCAGCTGGAGTACGGAAGGGTACGCGCGTGAAGAACTGGGCCCCCATTCTGACATCAATGTCCGATATCTTGAAGACAGTCATGAAGAACTCGAATTATGTCTCCGGAGATGAACAAGATGTGGACTTGTGGGGCCAATTGGTCCTCAGTGTCTCGATCCTGTTTCAATACGCCCCCATGGATAGCATCATTACATTTGTTCAGCCTTTTATGGATGCGCTGACCAAAGATCCGCTCATGAAATGGTTTCTGTCATTCTGTTCTTACTTTTCCGAAGTCGACTCGGACCGGTTCCGGGCTTTTGCAATGCCGTACTTCAAGAAGTTTGTTGCGCATTTTCTTGCAAGATGCTCCCTTTGCTGACTAGCCACAGGTTTATTCTCGCGCATTGGTCGGACGCAGAAAACGGCGACACATTGTCGGTTCTTTTGCCGAAGATGGTTTCGACGGGCGTCTTACCTAGCAGATACGGTGCAGACGGGCTGGTTCTGCCACAATCCTGGCAAGACCAAATGGTGAGTAAATTCGAGCGGCTGGAGGTGCAGCCATTCCCCGAGCAATCGTCTCCGTATAATCGTAGCCCGAAGACATGGCACGATCGATGTTTACCGAAGTTCAATGCATTCCTTGAGGTTCTCGACTGCACGAAGGTCCACGCATCGACAAACGCGAGAATCGCAGAAATCCTTCTACGCAAATTGAAGCTCGCATTGCGCCCATCTTCGGCCCTTGCGCCAGAAGAAGCCAATTTTATTGTTGGTAGAGGCTTCAGTTCTTTCTCTCGGATGACCAAGGGGACGGGTGCTGTCGATCGAGCTCTGGAGCCCCTACTCCGCGCTGCAGCCCCGAGATACGCAAGATTGCCCAAATTTTTGGAGGCTCTACTTGATTACGAATCTAGCCTGGCAACTGTGCCCGAGTCCAAGTATGCACCACGTGCGAAAGAGTGTCATTCTGACCACGACGTGGATCTCCTAGTTGCCTCACTCATCACGAATCTCTCGACCGACTCTCATGACTTACGATACCTTTCCCTGCGACTCTTGGATCACATTTATTCCACAGAACATGGATCCGGTTCCCAGTGCCTTTCTATCATGATCATGGTCGAGAACTCGACTCTAGATTCACAAGCAGTCCGCTCTGCATCAATGCACATCCGAAAATTGGCGACAATGTACCCAAGTGAACCAGCTGATTCCTGGCTTAAGCAGGCAATACCTGCGTTCTACTTTGGAATGCTCACTGTCAAACTCAGAGAGTTGTGGGATCAAGTAGCCGCTTCGCTGAAGCTGATCACCGAGACAAAACCCGGTGAAGAAATCGTTGCCAAGCTGGCATTTGCCTGGCTTGAAAAACCTTCCATGGCCGGTGACGGCCGTAGCAATTGTCCACAAGAAGATATAAACCTGGGCTTGACCGATTTCGAGTGTTCAAACCTGATGAACTTGGACAAATTAGCGAAGGAGGCCGAGTCAGGGGTAGCGAATTCCCGTGACACAATGTTGCAAAAATTTGCGGACGCTCAGGAGTTGGTCCCTGCTGAACCTCGCTTGGCCAGAACCCAGGCACTCTTGGTTCTCGCCGGTGCTCCGGGTGTCGCCGAAAAGCGTTCTCGCCAACTTGTACCGATGTTTCTGTCATGGGCGAAACAAAGCAACGAAATCGAGCAGTCCGACGAAGATGACGAACAACCCCTCAGCGACTGGACAAGAAAAGACCAGAAGAAACTCCTCGATCTTTTTGCTTGTTTCACCAACCCCAGATCCCTTTACAAATCGGACGATGTCTACGAAGCTCTGCTACAATTACTTGCTAATGGAGACATCGAGATCCAGAGATCTGCCCTCAAGACAATTTTCACATGGAAGAACCCTGCCATCAGACCTTATGAAGAGAATCTTTTAAATCTTCTGGACGAAGCAAGATTCAAGGAGGAGCTTGCAATTCTACTCCAGGGACAAAGTCTGGTTCAACCGGATCATCGCCCGGGGCTGATGCCAGTGCTGCTGAGAGTAATTTACGGTCGTTCAATATCCAAAAAGGGTGCCGCAAGTGGCCGACAGGGTATGGAAGCTCGAAGACTGACTATCCTTCGCAATCTCAGCGGCGAGGACATGGAAGGATTTCTTGACATCGCTCTGGGTGAATTAGCGGGTGTACGACTGCTTCAAGAAAGTGCGGTCCGTGATTCCATCTTTGATACAGAGATCCTGAACGTCAGAAAGCAAGTAGGTTTTACACACATGATTGAGGGGATGTTGAAAGAATTGGCGACCAAGGTTGTCCCATTCGCAGGGAAATTGATCGATGCTGTACTGTACTGTGTCATCTACGCCTCCCGCCAGCTTGGGGAAGTGCCCGAAACCGCGGAAGAGACAGAAGCTGCCACTACCCAGATATCGCTCCTCAAGGTTGTCCGCCAGACCGGCTTGAAATGTCTTGTACTACTCTTTATCAATGCGCCGGATTTTGGCTGGTCGCCATATATCGATACCATTGACAAAGACATCATTTTTCCTAGGTTAAAAAACCTGCCTACCGAGACTGGTCAGGGTATATCGGTCATCCTGAGACTGTTCTCTGCCTGGGCTATGTCGCCCAAATTGGTGTTTTTCCTCAGCGCCGATATTTTGTCTAAGGTTGCCGAGTGCTTGTCGCCTCCAAAGTCAAAGGATGAAGTGAAGAGATTTGCTCTCGAGGACGTAATACAGAAGGTCCTCGGACTTTCTCGAGAAGACGAGACCCTCGGGTCAACCGAGAATCAGATCCGGAAGCGAGTGAAGGATGAGGTCCTTGGTCCAAGCATGGATTTTTTTCTTGTTCACATCGGAGGTGTCTTGAGGAGCCAGGGTGACATGGGAAAAGAGTTGCTCGAGTCTTGTATCGAAACAGTCTCCCAACTCTCTCCGTTCGTCAATACCTCGAAACAGGCTCAGAATCTGGTGGACGTCTCGGTTTTCTTGCTCGATCAGCCAACTCGCCGGGTAAAGCCTAAGGAAAAGGGGGCGCTTCTGGTCGTACTCGAGCACTTCGTTCCACTCTATGATCTGCAGAACAATGCCGAGCTCAAAGATCGGGTTTTCAATACCGTGACATCTTTGTTTGGCTTCTTCAAAGACAATGAGTCGCGACAAGGACTAAGCCGGGTACTGAATGTGTATGCTGAGAAAGACCCTATAATGGGCGATGTTGCGAAGATCTGCCTGGACCTCAACTCCTTCCTCGGAAACCGACTGGACGAGCCGGATTACGATCGTCGAATCAACGGCTTCAATGCTCTAAATTCTCATGGGCAGTTCACAGCTCGACAATGGACGCCGCTTCTGTACAACATGCTTTTCTACATCACCCATGACGAGGAGTCCGGGATCCTTTCTTCCAATTCATCAGATATACTATGCCAGTTCATCAAAGTTGCCAACCAGTCAGAGTCAGAGAAACAAGCTTTTATGGCACTCATCTCGACCGTGTTGATGCCCGCCTTGTACGCCGGGGCGCGTCACGAGTCTGAGCTGATTCGACGAGAGTACCTTAGAGTCATGGGGACTTTAGTAGAAGTATTTCCGGACTGGGATGAAGTCAACGACATGCGAAGCCTGGGTACCGTATCCGGATCAGACGAGACAGACGCCGATAGACCACTCTCATTCTTTGAAAGCGTCTTAGACATTGGGAAGGGTCGGCGTCCAGCGGCATTGAAGCGCCTGTGCGATTCCGACCAGTGCGGCGAGCTTGGGTCCAAGAACGTTGGCTCTTTCTTAATTCCGCTAGTCGAGCACTTCATATTCGATCGAGCCGATGGAAATGACGCTAGTCAGCTCGCCTCGGAAGCGAGCACCACAATAGGGGTCTTAGCGAGCGCCCTTGAATGGCCACAGTACCGAGCCTTACTTCGGCGTTATATCGGCTATATCGAATCGAAGGATCAGCCGAAGCAGATTATTCGTCTTTTGGGCAAGGTGATCGATGCCCTAAGTGTTCCAACCCAAATTAAAAAAACTGAAAATGAAGATTTGAACCTCGAGCAGACCGCTGGATCCGCCATGGATCTGGATGCTCTCCCGGCCAATCCTATTATTCCAGCTCGAGCCAGTACTTTGACAAAGACCATGCCCAAGTCTCAAAAGTTTACTGACGATATCACTTCCAACATTCTGCCGCCACTCACTTCCTACCTCCACGACAAGGACGAGTCCACGGTCTCCCTTCGGGTTCCTGTCGCCATTATAGTAGTTCGGCTTTTGAAGCTGCTTCCTTCCGAACAGCTCAGTTCCCGCCTTCCTGCTGTGTTAACAGATGTCTGCCATATTCTTCGGAGTAAAGCCGCCGAGTCCAGGAAGATGACCCGTGATACCCTGACCCAGATCTGTGTACTGCTTGGGCCTTCCTGCATTGGATTCGTTCTGAAGGAGCTCAAGACCGCGCTTCAGAAGGGTTACCAGGTCCACGTCCTGTCCTTCACCATGCACTCGATCCTGGTGGCTACAACTCTGGATCATGCGCCTGGAGATCTGGATTACTGTCTACCCCGAATCGTCGAAATCATCATGGACGACATATTTGGCGAGACGGGCCAACAAAAGGATGCTGAAGAGTACACCAGCAAAATGGAAGAAGTCAAGAGTAGCAAGAGTTACGATTCTATGGAGTTGATCGCTTCAACGGCCACGTTGTCCAAGCTTACAGAGCTGGTCACGCCTATTCGGAAGTTGCTGCAAGAGAAGTTGAACATCAAGATGGTGCGCAAAGCCGATCAGTTGTTGAACAGAATAAGCAATGGATTACAGAGAAATCGTGCTGCCAACAGCCGGGATAGCTTGATCTTCTGTTACGAGGTCATTCAGGACGCCATGCAGGAGAAGGAACCCGAGAAGAAGAAGAAGGTCGATCATAAGATGAAGAAGTACCTGTCGACAAAGGGCGCCAAGCGAGGACTGGACCGAGGCAGTACTACAATCTATACCTTCAAGATCGTCCGGTTCGCGTTCGATGTTCTACGCGCTGTCGTCAAGAAACATGATAACGTGCGCACTCCCAAGAACCTTGCAGGCTTCATCCCGATTCTCGGCGACGCAGTTGTGGAAGCCGAGGAAGAAGTCAGGGTTTCTGCTTTCAAGACACTTACCACAATCGTCAAGGTTCCGCTTCTTGAGGAACCGAATTGGACCAATCTGTACCGAGTCGCTGCGGCCGAGGCAACCAAAGCCATCATGGAAAGTCCCCAGACCGACTCAGAAATCGCGCAAGCGGGCCTGAAAATGATTTCTGTGATACTGCGTACGCGGCCGGATGTCAAAGTCAAGGATACTGCGATTGATCGACTACTTTCCAAGCTCAAGTCAGATATTACGGAGCCGGAACGTAGACATGTCACTTTTGGGTTTTTGCGGGCGGTGCTGGACTCGAAAATTGAAACCGCCACTGTGTATGACACTCTGGATTATGTAGGGGAGCAGATGGTCACGAATTTTGACAAAGATACCAGAGACTTGGCACGTGGCGCTTTCTTCCAGTTCCTCTCCGAGTATCCGCAAAAAAAGGCACGCTGGTCAAAACAACTCAAGTTCATCAAAGGCAACCTCCAATACGCTAGACCTGGTGGTAGAATGTCTATCCTCGAACTTGTGTACCTTCTTCTATCAAAGTCGAACGATACTGTTGTATACCAGGTTGCTAAGGAGCTTTTCGGGGAACTGTACAAAGAACGCTTGAACGACGAGGAGGACGAGAAATGCCGACTCGTCCTCTGCGAGGTACTTAAAGAAATGTTTAAGCGTATCAGTACCGATCAAGCCTCCACCTTCCTCGATGAGCTTCGGCCCGGCCTCGAAGATCTCGATACAGACAATGTCTCAGTCCGCCTCCAGACATTCAGACTTTACTACGATTCCAACCCACTGGATGAAAGTCACGTATACCCACTTCTCGAGAAGATCTCCGTCATCGCCAAAACAGCAGAAGACCCCGGTGCCGACATGCGGCAGATTTTCGAAGCGCTCATGCTCAGCACCACACTCTCAGAACGGTATCCCCAACTCGTCTTTGCAAAGTCACAGACCCAGCTCTGGCACATTCTGCGAGCTTGTCTCTCATACCCGGATGAGCGCATCAAGTTATCCGCCGCCAAGCTGTTTAACATCTACTTCGCTGATTTCGCTCGCGCGAACATAGATACCGATCTCAAACTGCCTCTCAGGAGCTCGGGTGGCCTGAAATTGACTGCGGATGACATTCTGGACTTTCTGCGCCGAACGACATACTCTTTCAACACACCAGCCCTGAGCCACCAAGCGACTCCAGAACTTCTGAAGAACATTGTTTTCCTAGCCCGGGTCGCAGGCTCAAACGATTTGAAGTGGAAGTCTAAGCTCAACGCGGAAGCTGGTGACATTGACGATGTCGAGGAAGAGGGCGAGACCGACAACAGCCGGACTGCCCTGCAATTCCTCTTTAAGAGGATTTCATTTATGTTGAGGAAAGAGCTAGCGCCTCCCCTCCGCCTCGCAACACTCCTCCCCCGCACCAACGGCCTCACCCTACTTACCACCATCCTGGCCACGCTCCCAATGCCCTCGCTTCTTCCAAATCTCCAAGTAATCCTGCAACCGCTGCATCACCTCACAGATCCCAACATTCCAGTCCCGTACTCCACCGACGAGACCTTCCGCGACGCCTATACAGCGATGACGGATAACGCCGAAGCGCTCAAGGATAGCGTAAAGCGGACAGTGGGCGTGGAAGAGTACAGCAAGGCTATGCTAGAGGTTGGGAGGAGGGTCAAGATGCAGAGGGAGGAGAGGAGGAGTAAGCGGAAGATCATGGCTGTGTCTGAGCCCGAAAGAGCAGGAAAGGAGAAGGCGAGGAAGGTAGAGAGGAAGAAGGAGAGGAGGAAGGAGAAGGGGGCGGAATATAAGAGTAAGAGGCACGAGCAGTAGGGATAGACATCAGTAGAGGGCGGATCCGAAAGGTTGAGTGTCATAGTATGCAAAGTGGGTACTGGAAAATGGAGTTTGGCGTCATGGGCGTTT